CTTTCACAGCTTTTAATCTACAAATGGAAGCCTGCATCTGCAAAACATACATTATGCTCTATTTCTCCCCTTGTAGTTGTTTTAAACCACCACAGAAGTAAAACTTGCATAGAACATAGAAGAAAACACCAAACATTTCATAATTTCTGTGAAAAAAATTAACTCTCCCAAACATCCCATTTCTGAAACGGCTGGAAAAGAAAGGAAACGGGGCACTGACACCAGAAACTGAGAAAAAACTGGATTACCAATCTAAAGTTACAGACATCCTAGCAGGATCCATCATTACTCCCTTATTTATTTTGCATGGTGCCTCTAAATGACCACTGTCTCAGTTTTAATGGCGTCAACAAGAGGTCAATCACTCTTTAAAAATCCTAACTCTATTTTACATGGCATGGCTGAACAGCCCTGCAACACACGCTTCATACAGCACAACACGAGAACCACTGCATTGCTAAAGCATTTCAGTACAGATGCTACTCACATCCACTTACGAGCTGGAAATGAGACATTTCTCCTTCAGACAAAATTATTAACACTCACATTTTGCACCTGTAAATCAATCACAGCCTCAGTACTTATATATAACACATTCATAGTTGTGGCAGCTCCTGAGATGGAGAAAAATACGCAGTATTACCCTGCAGCAAGAAAGAGGACGTGCTGTTTGTAATGGACAAGGAATAATGGAAATCTGGGTGCGACTTCCTGCACAGGGGGAGGCCGTGTGGCAGTGAACAATGGGCCCAGCAGAGCTGAACCTGGCTCACCTGATTTGATTCACATCTGTGTTCATAAAGGATCCGGAGCCTCAGCATCACACCAGGTTTCAGGGTGCTGCAGTAGCTCCACAGTGAGCATCCTTCCTTTGCAAAAATAGCCACTGACAAACATTAAGGCTACAACAGGCTCAAAACATGCAGTTCTGAAGCACAAAAGATGCCTGCACTGAGCTGATTTCAGGCTGATGAACAGTACAACACGTTTATAAAACTGAAGATGAACACAGAACTCTTCATCTATTTAAGTGTCAGTATATAAGAAGCATTTCCATACTTGAGTACCTAAGAATTTTCCCAAACTAAAATGTTTCCATCATCCAACATACCCTCATGATGTGACTCCTCTAGACTACTATTGCTCCAAGGCACTGCTCAGCTCAATCCCACAGCAGATACCAGGCTTTCACACACAGGACTAGGAGTGGAAGTTGGCCTTTCCCCTTAATTACCCCAGATAATATTTCTCCTAGCACTACGTGCGAACTCTTACGACTACATTGTTGTTTTTTTTTTTTATGGGACATAGGGAGGAAGGATTACTTTGGCTAAAGTAAAGCTTTTCTTATGCCTCACAATACACTGTAATAAAGGAGAAAAAGGCATTTTGCTCCAGCAGAACTGGTTAAATAGGGCAGACTGGCTACTGCTGTGTCTGTTGGAAAAAAGGGAAGTCTCCCTTCAAATGAGAACTGAATGCATTAAGCCTCCTGTGCTAAGCAGAAACAGAAGAAACAGAACGGAGAGCTTTCCCTGGAGTCAAGAGAGATTTATGCGAAAACCTTTCTTAAAAAAGGCCCCATCCCCCTCCCCGTGTCAGCTCCAGAAATCTGGGACAAAGGTCCTCATGATTATTCAACAAGTTCGAGATATGCAACCAAACACAACATTAGTCAACCATGAAAGCGGCAACACCAAGCCAGCAATTTAAACAAGCTGAACAGAGAAAACCTGCAAGTATGCAAAAGGCCACAGCTCTTGCAAAACTGGCTCAAAAGCATTAGTATTAAAGGCAGAAAAAAATGCTGCCTCAGTGCACGAAGTCTGGGCAGCCAACCGCTACCTCCCCCAGACACAGAACTTCTGCCAAACTGTGCAGAGCCGCTGCAGACTCGTAGCAGAACGTCAGCAGCTCCTTCCCCTTAGGGATCTCGGAGCTTCTGGATGTTCTGACAGTTCAGACCCTGTAACTCGCAATGAGTCAAAGCCCAGTGAAGAAGCTGGGAGAAAAATGTGCTGACAATCGACGCTTCAGTCAGGACACGCACCGTATTGTGGCACTCAGGACAAAACCAGCAAAATACCACCTGCAAAATGCTGAATTCCAGAGGATGCCAACTGCCTTACGCTGTCCTGAGAGTGCCTCATCCCTTCACAGCCATACGTTTCACTGATGACCAGGAACTAGTTTTACTCTTTGTGAAGAAAGAAGTTCTTTAAGAAACAGGTGAGGCAACACCTTGTGGCAGCTACCCAAGCCCTAAGGACTGTGCATGTTCAAGGGAAGTTTTCACAATTCACATTTTGCCATGCCCACCCTTCCCTGTGCTAACAGGGCATCTCTCCCACACTCTCTTCTTCACTCTGGTCCTTCACCCAAGAAGGATTTCTGTGAGCAGGCACTAAGTACACAAACATCCATCGCTGCTTGGCAGAGCAAAGAACAAAGGCCACTGGGCAGAAAACATTGCTACAGTTCTGCAAAGATTGCTCCTATGTACAAACAGGAAACTGGATGGTATAAACGGTTAACAAGCCTTCTGAGAAGTCCTTTCTGCAGTTTGAAATCCCAGTATTTCCTTGTGTCTTAAGGCAGCCAGTGCCTACGGGTCTGTGTACCTTGCACCTGACACAAGCACAACCAGCACAGCCTCAGCCTTGCTGGCTGTGTGGATCAGAGGCTCTGCTGACAGGACACAGCTTTGCTGAACAAGGACAGGGGATATCAGGTTGATGTGCAGCAAATTCGGGGTCCTCTGTAGCACAGCACAGAATGGAACTCCCCTACAGCGTCCAACTGCCACACCTGCAGGATGACTTCTGCCACCTTTAGTAAGAAAATAAACCAAACCCTTTTGATATACAAGTTTAAAGAGATATCCTCGAACCACCAACAACTCGCTGTTCCTGGGCCGACCCTCGCTCCCCAAGGTCCTCCTGCAGATACCAGCTGGCACCAATTCAGCAGGCACCGCATACAGGCCACACAAGCCAAAGCACTGCAACCGGAGACCACTTTTGCGAGTGGAAGTAAACAGAAGAGAGAAGCCTAGCTCTCATACTAAATGCAGCACGCCAGATTTAAAAGCAGGAGCACTCAGAGCAGCCCAGGACAGCAGTGCCGAGCTCCACGCACGCTCCCTAGGCAACACAGTGCGGGCGGTGCGTCCGGCCGGCAGCTGCCGCTTCAGGAGCAGCGGGAACGCGGCTGCTGACGGACACGCGGACCGTGCGGCTGGAAGCAAACCCAAGAAACAAGCCCGAGCGGCGCGGAGCGGGCTCAGCCCGAAGCCCGGCTGCGCCCCTCACCTCGGTGACGATGGTGGAGAGGTACACGTCGCGGCTGTACTCCCAGCCGTCCAGGCACGGCTCCTGCTCCAGCTCCTCCAGCTGCACGTCGATGCCGGGCCGCAGCCCCAGCGCCGACAGGTTGACGAGCGCGTCCAGGCGGTAGCGGCGGCAGCGGCTCGGCTCCGTCAGTCCGCCGCGCAGCTCCAGAGGGATGCTGGCGTTCCGCCACTCGTCGCTCAGGTTGGCTCCGGGCGGCACAGCGCAGTGGTGTTCTGGGGTACCGGCCAGGAAGACGATGGAGAGCCCGTTGAAGCCGTTGGGGACGATGCTGGCGCTGAGCAGGAAGAAGACGAGGCGCTGGAAGCGGCCCCACTCGCCCAGGAAGGCGGTCACCTCCTCGTAGTCCCGCATGTCGCGGCCGAACTTCGCCCGCCGCTACCGACAGGCAGGAAGCGGCCGGCCCCGAGCCGCCCAGCCGCCGGCCGAGCGCTTTGCCATGGGCCGGGCCTCGCCGGCGGGGGAGCGGCCGGGGGTGGGGTTAGCAGGCGGAGGGCTCTCAGGTGGGGCCGGGCGCTGGTGCCCGGCCCGGCCCTGCTCAACCCGGCGCGGCGCGGCCCGGCCGGCAGCTCCCGGCATGCACCGCGCCCGGCACGGAGGCGCGGCGGGGGCTCGGCCGGGGATCCGCCCGGAGCGGGCTGGGCTGAGCCAGGAGGGGATCCGGGATGGGACCGCGCTGCTGCCTGCGTGATTCCAGTCCTAAGCGCTGTGATAATAGATGGAGAGCTGCAGGTACACCTACTGAATGGTACACAGCTGCGTTCTCGTGCTGGTTCTGCCTCCACGCGCAGCTCAACTGCAGCACAGCTCACTCCCCACTCCCGAGGGAGCAGAGGGAGAAAATAGGGTGGAAAAGGGCTCGATGGTCGAAAAGGACGGGGAGATCCCCGCTGGTTACCATCATGGACCGAACAGTCAGATGATAACTGCTATCTGGATAGATCGCTGAGGACTAATTCAACATATAAACGCCTCTTGGAGCTGCAGGGATGCAGAAGAGCAGTGATTGAAAGTTCCATCTGAACATGAGAAAGAATTTTGAGGGTGGCACAGCCCTGGCACAGAGCGCTCAGAGAGGTGGGGACATCTCCTCCTCTGGATGTATCCAAACATGCCTGGATGCTTTCCTGTGCAGCTGCTGTAGGGAGCCTGTTTTAGCAGGGAGTTGGGACTAAACGATCTCCAGAGGTCCATTCCAACCCCTGCAGTTCCAGGATTCTGGCTCCTGCTCTGCTCAGCCTAAGGCTGGCAGCAAGGGATGAGTGAGGGATGAGCCCCTGGTGTGCTGCAGGCAGCAGGCAATGGAGGGAGGCCTCAAGTTTGCCTCTGGGCAGTGGCCTGACAGCTGGGATTGCTTCTTTCCTGCAAGCCAAAATGACACCATATTCAAGGCCAGGTTCACAGTGCGAATCCAAAATATCACCATAGCCAAGGCCAGGTCGAAGGTGCAAAGCCCAAATGTTGCCATGGTCAGAGCCTGATGATGGTGCAAGGCTGAAATGCTGCTACGGTCAAGTCCAGGTTGCTCACAGGGAACTGGGAAGAGCAGCTTCTTGTGTGGAAGAGTTTATTTTGAGTTTCTATTTTCGTAACTTATGCACACTAAGTTTATTTCTAATTACTTATTTAAACATCTTTATAAATAAAGTGTTAAATTTAGGAGACTTTATTCTTCAACTACAAAACACTCAGAAAGTAGGTTACACAATGCTAGCGTATGTTTTATTCCAATAAAGACAGGAGTTCCCAGGTGACAACAACTACGTGTTTGTGTGTTCTTTAAGGTATCCAGCAAACCAGTGTCAGATCTTACCGACAATAAGAAGTCACACAGAGAGACCCAGGTAAATGTGACAGAGGAAAGAGCTGAGGCCCAGTGCGATCGGTGGGAGCATCCAGTTGTGCTTCCCTCCCATCCTCTGGTCAGAGCTGTGTGTGCATCTCCCAGCTGAGGTGAGCACACAGGTCCCACAGTGAGCCCACCGGGCATCTGACACACACAGCTCACTGAAGACTGCAGTGAAAGGCTTGGGTTCCTCATCAGAAATGCATTTATTTTCTGTCAACGGCTACTAAGCCGATTCTGTTTTCTTCAGCTTTACAGTTAAAAATTCAGTAACTTGCCAGAATCTGGCACTCCTGCCCTCCAGATTCATCCCTCTATGATTCTTCAGCAGGCTGCTGCTCTTTGAGTTCCTTCAGAAATCCCTGTTCTGGCCTGGGAAAGCTATGGTCAGAGGACAGAAATCCTCCTTACAAGTGCTTCATCAGCTGAAGCAATCTCATTTTCTCATTCTGACTGTGCTCACACACACTGAGTCCATATAACAACATCACATTCTTGTCAATAATGCATTCCACTCTTGTTTTTTTTTTTTTATTTGCTATTAAAAATACTAAAATATGACACTAGCTTTTGATCAATGGTAAAAGCAAGAAAAATAAGACCAATTAAAACAAAGCATTTAAAAAAAAACACAACCCCCTTCCTTATTTAAAAAATGGAATCTAGTTTTAAGATACTAAAAAGTTCAAGAATATAAAAATATTTACCTTTCAGAAATACTTAAGCCTACAATCACATAAAATAAGTATGAACTTAATATAAAAATCTTCATAAAAATACAGGCCACCTACATTTATCCAAGTCCTCAGACCTGTCCTACGCCAACAGGAAGGTTTTGTTCAGAAATCTAGTTATGCTTAAACAGTTATTGGATAGATCAACTTTGCAACAAGTAAAATGAAGAATTAAATACTGCTGTCATTGAGGAAATTCCAGTTTGAGAAGGGATGAGGACGTGGGTTAGCCTTATGGCACATGACTTTTATGGCAAAAAGCATGACTGCAGAGAATTAATATTAAAGGAAGTAGCGTTGCTACGTTCCAAAGAGCAGCTTGAGATGATTGCACGAGTTCCTTGCATTTAAATGTTATAAACCTTTATAGTTGTGCTTGAACTTACAGGGAGATCTCACTTGCTGCAAAACGCCACCATGAGACAAATTGCCATGAACTCTCACATTAAGAGAGGAGACCGCGTGCTTTTGTTGGCCTTAACGGAATGTGAATCACCACTAAATGGTTTTCAGAGAAGATAAAAATCTGCCTACCCAGCCTGAGAGACTTCATGCGGCCAAGAAGTCCAAACACAACCATTAAATAGAGCAGTAAAAGGCATTTTCTCGAACTATGCAGTGCTTGTAAAACAGTAGTAGCACAAATCTAAGCTCTACTACATTCAACATTTCGTCTCATCTGGCTTTGCTGAACTTTAAAAAGAAACCACACACATAAGCTATAGGTCTTGAAAAACAAAATACTGGCTTTGTCAGCACTATTTTTGCTTTGGATAAAAAAAGAAAAAAGAAAATAATAAAAAAGTATGGTCCCCAGTGAGCCCTTTTTCAGTTCTTAATAGCTGCACATTACAATGTCTTGCACAGAACATCTGATTTTTGCAAGCATCAAACCTCCTTTAAATTTGTAAGTGGCACAAAGGTTTCTGTAAAGGCTTGCAAAACTGAGTTGAGTTTTCTCTGAAGGTACAGCATAATGTAGCATATATTCAGAGGAGAAATGAAATGCTTTGAAAAAGAACCACAAAAAGATACAGAAGTTGCTTATGTCAGTGTACTATGAGAAACACAAAAGCTGAAAATGCAGAGCATGTTTGAACAGGACCACTTAGTCGATAAAGCCTGTTTCTTTTGAAGGTGGGCATGGCCCATCTAAAGGAATCAGCAAGCTAGAGCCCTGCTCAGTCCTTACACCTCAACACTGGCAAAGCCCAGCGGCTTCAGCAGGCTCAGGCCTGATGAAAAAGCATCAGCTTCTATAGGGACACGTGGATCAGAAGTGGATCCCAGGCCTTGGTTACAGATTTCAAATGAGGCTGGGATCTTTCCTTCAGAGATGTGTGAGATGTTCAAAGGCACACCCAGCTTCCCTTCCTCCAGTCAGTATGCACAGCGTGAGAAAACCACCACCATCACCACTGCTGCCTTCTTCCTTTTCTCTTAGCAGCTTTCAAGGAGTACATGACTGAGTGCACTGTATTACTACTCCTCAAGTTTAGCACATGCAGACCTTTGTTTCTCAACAGGAGCTGGACCTGCTGACACACTCCAGGAATCAGAACGCTGAATTACAAACTAAGAGCCCTATGGGAGCAGACAGCATCTGTTCAGAAATTAGGTACATGGGTACAGTAGCACAAGGGACAATAACTACAGTGCCATAGCATTGGCTGTTGGGTTTTTGTTCATTTTCCTGTGGCAGAAAATGCATTTTGAAGTCTTGTTCTTCCAGCCCCTCTGAGTGTGTGCATCCTTCTTCAAAATGGTGTCGTGAGAGTTTTAGGACTCTCCTTTGAATTCCTAGTGCCAGTGGTTTGTTGCCCATTCCTGAAACTGAAAGCAAGTAAAAGACTGAGAAGGCAGAGAACATTTTACAGTGAGAGCAGACACCAAGCCCTCCAAATTAGCACTGCTAAAATAACCATGTTACACTACTGATACAAACACTGGAAAAAAAAACAGGCCTTCTCTGGAGGATGCCCTTCCAGATGGGAGAAGGAAACAACATTCTGAGCTTCAGCGTGATTCACTGACCGTAATTCAGTTACTTCATTCTGTTTATGCAAGATGTCTGCAAAGGGAATCTGGACATCAACTGCAGAGCTAAAAGCAACGTCAGGTATATGAGAAGTCCCTAGCTGCAAAAAAGAGCAGCATGCTCTTATCAAGGACCTCGGCCTGAGAAATCTTCTTACCCTGAAAGCACAATGGCAGCTCCTTTACCAACCAGGCATTAGCTACAGGCAATTCCATGTGCTTGTTTTGTTTGGTTGGCTTTTTGCCCTAGAAAGGCAAATTCTGTTCACTCTCCCTCACAAGGCTGAGTGGTGCATGGTGTCTATGCAGCTGCACTTGAACTAATTCAGTCTCCTTCTGCACTGATTTCCCAACCACAGCCACTAGCAAGCATTGTCTGCACTGCATCAGCACTGTGATGTATGACACAGATTTCAGTGGGCACATCTGCTTAGGGTACCCAAAACAGCACCTGGTGGGGGTCAGCATTTATTTGCAATGCTCACCTTCAAGCACATCAGTGCTCAGGTTCAGAGCTGTCTGTAGAATTAACAGCAACAGATCTAAAGGGCACTCTGAAAGCTTTGATGTTTTGCAATAGATCCAATGAAATATTTTCTCATTGTAAAAAGAGATTTTGTACAAAGAAACCCTGAATTCTTGTTGAAGATGGGATGAATGAAGGCTGACTTACCATTTCACCTTCAGCATTTGTTCAAAGCTCTCAGGCAGAGCACTGCCATAGCTCTCAGGAAGAAACAGGGTAAGGATCCCTATCAGCACAGTCAGGCTTCCCATGAGGATATATGGTAGGTATCTGTCATAGGCACCTGGCAGAACACAGGACAGAAGATCAATTACAGGCTCACCTTCAACGAACCCACACATGAAGTTTACATTTCAGACGTCATTGCAATGCAGACTTCATTTGGAATAATGCAGCGAAGAGGCCAAATTCAGACTAACAGACCAATAGTGGGGGGAAACTCTTACATACTTTCCTCTTTGGAAGCAGAGTTGGACTAGATGAGCTTTAAGGGTTCCTTCCAACTCCAACAATTCCATGATTCTACAAAGCATCACTGCAGGGGCAGACAGGAGGCTCTGACATTGGTCTGCTCAGTTTCTGATTTAGAGCATGAAAGCAGCGGCCCCTGCCAGCAGCCTGCAGTTAGTGCACCAGCATTCAGCGTGCAGGACTTTCATCGCAGCAACACAGAACTTCAGAGGTCTTTCAGTAAAGGGATTAGCTGGGAATTAAAGCAAGGCAGAGAAAGGACCAAACTGAACTTGACAGCTTTATTTTGTAGTTGGGATATAACAGCATGATTTCCAATGTGAGGAATAAGCTAGGATTAAAATGAAGACCTCTGGGTATTTCACGTTTGGAGCCAAAGTTTGTGATTTGATCTCCTCAGTGCTCATGAGCTGGACAAACTGCAAGGGCCTGATTGAGCTGTAGCAAATTTCAGCAGCTCACCAGTTCCTCCTAAAACCTTTAGAAAATTATTCTGATGGCTGCAACAAGACTTTTTAAAGATTGGGCCTATGGGAACCCGCAAGAAAAACTAACAATAAAAGCTTATTCCTGTCTGTATCTGTTACTGCTACTTAGGCTGCAGCAGAGACTGAAGACCCCAAGGAGCATCACAGCCATTCTGCCTCTTATTTCCCATTTGCATTGCACAGTCTTTGTGCAGCACAAGTCTTTGTGCATCAGAATGGGATGTTAAAGAATGTCACAAAAAAACCAAACTCTTTGGGAAATGAATACTTCTGCTCATAGATCAAAATGTAAACAGTAAGAAAAAAAGCAAAATGAATGTCAAGGTGCCTGGCTTAGTGCAGTATATAGAACTCAGACCCAGTGTGAGAGAATGGACTTAGAAGACAGCAAATGGAGGGGGCTAAGAGCTGAACCTACACCTCAGAAGCTCAGGTAATTTTACGGGCAATTATACAACTCAAGGTAGAGTGCAGGATATCTCACCCAGGTAAACAAAGTAGGGAGCAATGATGCTGCCCAGCCTGGAAGCTGTGGAAGTAGCCCCGACTGCCATGTTTCTGACCAGCGTTGGGTACAGCTCCACATTGTAGACATAAAGCATTGAAAATGCAGCTGTGATGCCAAACTTTCCAAGCATCACCAAGCAAACGGATAGGACATTGAGATCTGGAGGAGAAAGATAAAAGCCAAGATGAATAAACAACACTCTTTGCTCAGTCCTTGTATTTCTTTTACCTCCCGAGGACCCTATTGCTGCTTTGTTTTGTTTTCCCATAGGAGTTGTGTGGGATTTTTTGTTTTATTTTCTTGCTAATTTTGCAGCCTATTGGTCCCACTTGGACTGGGACCAGTTGCTGAGCGCACTGCAGAAGGCACAGCTTGTTGTGTACTTTTCAGTTTTTGCTTTTCTCCCAGTGAAAAGGCATTCTTGAAACAGAACAACATTCCATATTACACAGCAACAAAGCACAAGTGTAAATCCATCCCTGTTTTGCAAAATTCAGTGGAGGTTTGCACACAGTGAAGTCTGGGAGGCTTGCAGGATGATTTCAGCCTCTGTGCATAAGCAAATAAATCACAGTACACTTTTGGCTGGTTCCCTGGCCTATAAAAAGCTCAGAAATCTGATACAATTGAGAGCAGTGTGTGACTCAGCATATATGTGTGCATTGGAAAAAGAATCACTGCTAGCAATCGGCACAAATTCGACCTCAGATCCCAAGTTTGATCAGAGTTTCCATCCATTTCACAGAACCACGAGACAGAAGCATAAAACACGACAAGGTTTTATTTAATGGGTGCATTGGATCTCGTACCTGTAGGAACCAGCTTAATGAAGAGGACAACACCTCCTCCCAAAACCAAGGTGCTGGATATGGAGTAGCGGCGAGGCAGGGAGCGCAGGAGCAGCCAGGCAATGATGTATGCTGGGACTTCAATGACTGCTGAAAGGAAGCAGTTGATGTAGGCATCGCCATGCAGGTTTGGAGTGCTGAGGGAAAGGCCAAAGTAACCAACGGAGGTGAAAAACCTGAGAAAAGCAATAATACCAAATGATCCCCGAAACGCTGCGCTCTGAACACCTCCGGTGTTGCCTCAGAGGTTGCTACAAAAATCAGATGTCGCAAAGCATCACCATGGACACCATGGCTCAGCCATCTCAGTGGCAGCCCATCTTTCTAACTCTGCTATCCCTTCCAGTGACCACATCCACAGCAGCTTGCAGACCTCGGATTTCTCTGTCCTTCCTCTGCCTTCTACACCAAGCGTGAGCCTTTGTGGAAGTCGCTCACAAAGGCTTTTCCCTGCAGTGGGCTCATTAACAACAACAACCACAAGACTAGGAAGCCTCCCATGCCAACTGTGGCATGCTCCACTGATGGGCTCTCCCACCCTCAGCAGTCTGCATACATCTGACTTTAACCTTCATAGCTGGATGTTCAGGTTTCAGACCTGCCCCCCTACAGCATCCTGAGTGTGCCGGCCAGGTCCCTCCTGTGGGGAAATAGATACAGAAAGGGGCCACAGTTTGCCTGCAATGCACTGCTCAGTCCTCACTCCTCGTGGCTGCCCAGGCAGGGACCAGGACCTCACAGATAGGAACAACACAAGCATTGGCCTTGATTTTGGTGCTTGTTATGTTACCGAGATGCTGCCTCCGCTATGAGACATTTCTCTTCAAACAGAGGCTACAGAGATGGGAGCTTAAAAAAAATTATGTACACAGGTTGTTATATATGATTTCCTTGCTGTTTTACACTGACTTGAGGCTACACCTCCACACTTGTGTGCTAAGGCAGCACAGGTGCAGAGGCTACTGAGGGACATGCACCAGCCAAGGGCTGTGTGTGGGCAGGCACCAAGGCTGAAACTCATTATCTAAACCTGTGACACGTGCCCTCAAATCAGAGATTGTTCTATTGCCTGGGTACTTTAGGAATACACATTTCCTTACCACAAAAGTAATGACATAATAGTAATAGTTGCAATGTTTCGGGTTCGAAATAGGTCCAGAAGGATAGCCTTCTGCTGCTGCTGAGGCTTCGAATCCTGCATCTGAAGGAAAAAGGAAAACAAAACCAAAAAAATTCCCACACACCTCAGAGCACAACAACCTTTGCAAACCAACAGCTCGGGCAGTAGGAAGTTACGACTGCACTGGGATAATGGGTCAGCCCAAGTCCTTAGCGGAGCTGGCGCCTGCACCAGCAGCACTCCGTGGTGGCTTGAGTTTTTTGGGTCAAAAAAGGCAGCATTTGGTACAGCTGCATTGTGCACACAAATGAGATGGCCAGAAAGGCACATCAATACTTCCTCAAGGATCTAACACAGTCCTTTCAGGAGCAACCTCATGAGCGAAGGCGGTTTTCTGTGCATGTGCGCTCGTGCACTCGGCTCTCTTCTGCTCATCATTCAGAAGGGTGGGAGATAAATGCACAGCACCAGTTCAGCTGCCTGCTGCTGGTGGGGGATGGAGACTGATGCTGGGTCTCAGTGCAGAGGCTGAGGTGAGCCAGTCAGCACCCTGCTGGGGCACGGAGCAGCCCAAGCAGAGGTCAGTGCTGCAGCCAGGCTTCCTCCCAGCCCCAGAGCGAAGATGAACCTCCTGTAATGAAGCCCTGACCCTCCTGTGGGGGGAAAAGAGATTTCCCTTTCCTAAGAAGGAATGACAGTTTCTGAGGAATATCTTTACAGCAGCATTTGAACAATACTTCAGCGGGAAGATTCAGGTGCAGCCGTCACCCTCAGGCTGCTGCGGACAGGCTCTTGGGATGCGAGGTTCCCACAAAATGAGCACAGTTGAGCTGCTGCTTGGTGCCAGAAATGCACAGAGTGATGATCTGTACTCAGCTGACAGAGCCTGAAAGGTCACATCCAGGATGAAGGACAACTGAGAAGGATAACGTTTCCACGGTGCCCATAGCTTCCCATAGATGGAACTTGCACTTGAATTTACAGCACCACAGATGTTTGGAAAAGAGCTCATCAGCAGCTCAGCCAAAATTTAAGCACAATAAATTGGTGCTGCCAACTACAGGGGCAGCGTGCAGCATTTTGCTCCAAGTATCGCAAAGGGTGTGTAGTGCTTTGCTATTGCTGTACCAGGAGACGTCAGGAGACACACTGCAAGTGCTGGTGAGACGCAGAAATTCAGACTCAGCACAGACCCATGGTCACCATCAGCTTGGCCTGGGTTCTTTCTGAGACTTCAGGAGCTCCAGAGTGGGACAAAGCTCCTGTAGGGAGGCAGGCACGAAACCCAGCCGTTTCACAGCTGTAAGCAGTTCCTCGGCTTTCTCCTTGTCACCAACAAACATGAAACACAAGGAAAAAAAAAACAGGCCTACAGAAGAACTTCATGTGATTCAGTGACTTCGTCTTAGTCGCGTGCTTTAAGTGCAGCTCCAGCACGTGCTGCCCTGTGCAGCTGGAGCATCCCTGGGGCTGCACAGACCCTGCACACGTGGACCTGGACTTAGTGCTCACGTGCAGCCCAGCAAAGGGCCGTAGTTAAACTACAAAGAGCTGACAGTGCCCCAAGCTGGAATGGGGTCAAACTTGTCCTCCTCAGGCCTCCTCGGTGCTCCCAGGGTGAAGCAGAAGCTGGGTCACCCTTGCTCTGAAAACCACAACCAACTTCTGCTGAAAAAGTTTTGCTGCTAGCAAAGCAAGCCAGGAAGCGAGCCCTATGGCTGCTCATCTCGCACCGCTGCCCCAACACTTACCTGAGGCCAGCAGCCCTGCCAGCCTCTGCGAGCTGCGGCTGAAAGCCAGTTCTGCTCTGGCAGTTTACAACAAGCCAGAAGCGATAGGATGTGTGACACATACCTCTGTGGCATCAAAAAGCACGGCTGGGGCTGGGGTGTTGTTTATTTTTGCAGCCTTTCGGATAATAACTTCTGCCTCTTTATATCTTCCCTGGGAGATCAGCCAGCGAGGGGACTCAGGAATGATCCTGCAATGAGTTTCAGAATAAATGACTCAACGCTTTTCACTGAAGTAAGGCATTATTAAAACCACATGGATGCTCTGTATGAGTGATGCTCTCAGTCAGCAGAGAAGCATGCGGGCAATGCAACCCGTCCCACTGGGACCAGGGGAGGACTGGGGCACAAAGGACGTGTGTGTCCTCGTGCTGAAGCAGAAGTGTGGGCACTTCTCCTTGAAGGCTGCTTTCATTCATTGCTGCCCCCCAGCAAGCTGCACAGTTCCTGCACAGACATCAAGAATGGGGGCAGCGCTAGCAAGGTTTAGAAAATGATTCTCAGGAAATAACACACAGTGTGGGAATGCTTTAAATGTGCAGAGCATCAAAAAGCTCTGTGTCATAGGAATCCCATGTACAAAACATGACAATTCCACCACAGATCTAATGCAGGCTCTCCCAGGCAAAGGACAGTGGCCGTGTCCCTGATGGCAGTTTCCAACCAATTCCAGGCACGCGTAGAGCAAATTAACACCAAACACAGGACAGAAGGTCTCATCCTTCCTTAACTAAACCCTCTTCCCTTTCCAACCCAAGACATTCCGTTATTCTATAATTCCTTTACCAAGCAGCTCCCCAGAGGGCTAACCCACGTCCTGGCTTTGAGTGCCATGTGAGTTCTATCACCACCACATTAACTCCATACCGAAAGTGCACCCGCAGCAATCTTCTGCATGCTTTGATAGAGATTCCCACCAAATTGCAAAGCAGGACTCTGAAGCCTTGCCTTAGGGACATATTTCTCATGCCTCACGGTGCCAATCCCATAGCAGAAATCTGAAAGCTTGCATGCAAAACCAACCTCCCCATCGAGCAGCAGTTTGGGACAGAGGGATACACAACTGTGGTAAAGGACTCTGAGACATTTCAAGTTAAATGAGCAAAATAACCCTCAGGGGAGAATTGGACCAGATAGCAGGGCGAACTGCTGGCGTTTTGCTGAGATCTCACAGCCCAGCAGCAGTTGAATCCTCATTAAGAATGACTTAAAGGAAAAAGCAGGGAAGAAAAGTTAAGACCAGATCACTGGGCAATTCCACAGAGTAAGCTGAGAGGTGATTAGCAATGCCTGGAGGCATAAGGCAAGTCGAAAATTTCCAAGCTGCTCTGTAAGCTGGTGGAAAAAAAAGCCTATGGCAGCATGAGGATCAGCAGACGGTTATCTGAGCCCAGAACTGGCCAAAAACAAGACCGAAAAAAACAGCCAACAAAGAAAACATCCCCTTCCCCTCCCCCCCAGCTCCACCTCAAAGCAAATCCCTTCTCATGGGAAGAAGAAAATCCACCAGAAGGGGAGGAGGCGCCCAGGACACCCACACTCACCACCAGAGCGGAACGCAGAGCAGCCCGGGGAGGGTGAGAGCCAGCAGCAGCATCCGCCAATCTCTGATGAAGTAAGCAAACAGGGGCAGCAACATGTAGCCAATTGCAAAAAATATGCAAACTCCTAACGTAGAGAATATAATACGAACTGATTTGCCAAGAATTTCTGTTCCTGTTTAAAACAAGGGAGGTTGGATTAGCATTTTAACTCTTTCTGGTCGATCACGACTATAAACTTTAGTGCATTTACAAAGAGATAAGCTGAACAGTGGCAGAAAAGAGCAGTTCCTCTTATATGACACTTCAGTGGACACTGCCAAGGAGAGCAGTTCCTGCGTTATTGCCATCAGAGCTGACAGGTCTCACAGAGGGCTCAGAGCAATTTGGATCACCAAGCCCTCCTCTGCCACAAATTAAGAAACAGCTGGCAGTATCTTCTAATGAAGTCCTCCTCTTAACATCATAAATGAGTTGGGAACAGAAATAAAGGCAGCCGTGTGGAAATGAAATGGAAAGGCTCTGTGCTTTGCTCCCAGCAGATGGGAAATACTGAGCCTCAGTGGCAGCCAATGCCCCCAGCAGCAGCCAGAGGTTTGTGTGAAGGTGAATGACCTCTGCTTGGGAAACAAAATGATCAGAGAGCACCTAAATTACCTGTGATAACCTCATATCTGAAATACAGGTATGTATTGTACAGATATGTTCCACAGCTCTGTTAAGCCCAGCCCTGGGCAGGCTGCAGGTGCTATTTGCTCTGCATTGCTCAGTGCTGGGGAGCTCAGCCCCTTCCCAGGGCTTTCTGCCCTTGGGTTTGGGGTTTCCCAGCTGGCAGATTGGGATCCCAGCTGCCCCCTATCCCAGTGCCCCCACCTGCGGCACATCCAGCTTGGGGTTAACAAGTAATTTGCTGCTGAAGGAAAACTGGTCTGTGGGTGGGAACCAGTGCTGCTTTATCTCTGGGAACACAAAGCTGCACTGCCAGCAGCACGCTGTGGCTGCAGGGCATGAAACAGGAGGACAGTGGTCTCCGATAGCACTCTGTGGCTGCAACCAGCATTGACACATGAAAGCAGCCAGCAAGAGCTGTGTGACACAGCCTGGGGCCAGTGCAACACCTAGCAATGAGAACTGGAGACGTTGTAAACCATCCCTGGAGGTGGACAAGGCCAAGGATGGGTCCCAGGCAGCTCGAGCTGGTGGGGAGCAGCCAAGTCATGGCAGGGGTGGAGTTGAGGGGGCTGTAAGATCCCTTCCAACAAAACCATGATTCTTTTATAAGCGTTACGTAAAAATAGAGGGTTTGTATCACTACCAAGCCAATAGGAGCTGACAACTACTAGCTACAATTCCCTTCTGCTCCTCCCCTGCCCTCATTCTCCAGACCAGAAAATGGCAATTCTGGGCTGACACCAGCACACCTTCACAAAGCAGTGTTGTTTTACAGCCCCAGCACCTGAATACAGACATTTTGAGCACAGCCCTACAGCTCTGCCAGGAGCTGCAGCAGAACCCCCAAAAAATGCAGCTCCACAGCCACAGCGCTGCCCCGTGTTTCCCCTTGGGAAAATAAAGAGGGATTTTGTGGCTATCCGGGGCCATCAGGGTCACCTGTATTGCCCAAAGCCCATAACTCTGTACTAGTAGATTCCCATGGCAGATGCAGCATAATGGATGCAAGGTGATGGACGCAGGATGATGCTGGGGGCCTCAAACTGGCCCCAACCAACCCCTTCATGGTCCCAAATAATGCAGCATGAGGGGCAAAGCTGACCTCAGGATGGATGGAGGTTACAGCAGCTGGCTGTGACACAGTGCTGCAGGAGGAGCATGCTACGTGCTGTCCATGGCAGTGCTGCTCTGCTCTGAGGTGTGCAGATCCCTCTGCTGCTGGGGCTGGGCAGGGAGGAGCCCCAAATGCTGCTGCTGCCAGCCCTGTTCCTGCTGATAGCAGCCCTGAGCCTCCCCCCAACTCCTTCCCTTAACAGACAGAAATGGGTGGCTGTGTTGATGTTTGCTGCACCCACCTTCTTCTCTAAGCCTACAGAAAGTACAGGCTCTAACTAATTATTTGAAGAGATCCCTTAAGGCATCCTGGAGGAAAAAAAAGTCATACTGGCCTAATTTAGTAACTGTACCAACAAGGATTTAGTGCTGCCCTTAATGAAGTGCAGATTAAGAAGAAAAAAATAATACATTAAGCAAGCACTTAAACCAGTGCAGATCAATTCCTACCCAGTATGAAGGCCACCACATAGTTAGAGATCTGTCCCATGCCCACTATGAGGAAGAGCACTGTGAACATCTCCCAGCTGTTGGAGAAGATCTGCAGGAAGCTGAAGCCAGTCTGCACAGCCATGGTCAAGAAGAGGATGCTTTTCCTGCCGAACCTGGGGAAGGACAAGGACATGGTTGGGAAGATGGGATCTACCTGTGGTGAGAAATGTGGAACTTCTAAAGAAGCTAAAGCATGTTTTGATTGAAATGTGGAGAACTGGGTGTTAAGCTCCCTTATAGGTCCTACAGCCTCCAGTTGGGGCTGATCCTGGAGTCTGCCCTGCTCTGAGCAGTGCTGGCAGCATTACCTGTCTGAGAGCTGCCCCGAGATGAAGGAGCCGATGAGGACACCCACGAAGAACAGGGATGTGGTCAGCGGCACTTTCCAGTCGTCCTCACACACCAGGTTCCACTGCAAGAGAAGGGCCCACATTCAGCCTCTGTCACGCAGAGGAACTCTTGCTTCCCAGGAATGTGCCCATTTCCATATAATTTGGATGAATTCCCCTATCCTCAGCGCTGGGACACTGAGGTCTCTGCTGTCAGCATGCAGCTGCCTGTGCCCGTGGAACTGCCTGCATCCAGACCTGATAGAATCACAGAATCACTGTGGTTGGAAAAGACCTCTAAGATCACCAAGTCCACCCCCTGCCCATGCCCACCATGCTCACTACCCACATCCTCAGGTTCTCTGGCTTGTGGGTTCGACAGAATCTATGTGAGAGCTTACACAGAACAAACTGTTTTCTCACACAGATGGTTTTGCACGCTCCCTTTCCCCCTGCAGCCCGCAGGTGCTCATCGCTCACCCTCGCAACTGGGACGAGCTTTGGGACGGGAGCCAGGATGGAAACTTCCACCCAGCACCCACACTGAGCTTAAAAAATCAGAAGAGCACTATGAGTGCAGCAGGGCTTGCTGACATCCCAGGGAGCAGCCCCGGTCAGGGCACACCTCTGGGGCTCTGCAGAACTTCAAACGGATGAGACAAGCGTACCATGAAGGTAGGCAGGCCAGACCCAGATCAAAGTGCAGCATAATTTCAGTAATTAGCTTTGCTATCAAGAGCAGGGATATTGCCTCTGCCAGGATTCGTCCTTTGGAGAGGAACCAGGAGGTGTGCTTCAACCCCTTCAATCTGATTAGTACCTAAAAGAAAGCATCTTGTCCCTGCTGGGAGGGCTGGGTAGGCAAAGGCCAGGACTGGGCACTCATCTGTGATTATCTTAATTGCACTTGATAAAATGGAGGGGAAAGGTAGCTGAGCAGAGCTCTGACACTTGCAGGGATCATACAGTCATGGAATATCCCAAGCTGGAAGGGACCCACAGGGATCATCATCTCCATTTCCTGAAATGTTGGAGTAGGGATGCTGCTCTCGGAAAGTGTGCACTGGGATCTGTGAATCTTGTCAAAGGGAATGGAGATCTCTGTAAACCTGGTGGAAATCAAACCCTGTATTAAAAACAAAGCGAAACTCAGCTTCAGGAAAGGGGACACGAAAAGCAAGAGTTTCTTCAGAAAAAAAATGAACAAAGGCAAGAGGGCTGCGCCTGCATGGCACAAGCTTGGGTTCCATGGGCCTCTATCCTGGGCCAGCACTGTGCCACTGTGCTGTGTCCTCCTGTGATCTCCCAGCACTGAGATTTCAAAGTAAGAGTTCGTGTAGAATGTTTCTAGAAAAGCCAAAAGGACAGCAAAAAAGGGAGAAGGTTTCCAAGTTGCCATGTCCTGACTTGCCCAACTTTCTGCAGTCAGCAAACAGTGCGGTGCCAGAATGCGCAGCCAACACAGACCATTACTCAGGACATGAAAATGTGACAGCCAGCAAATAGATGGAGCTGTGGCAGCTGTCCCCAGTGACCCTGACCCATTCTGGCTGCAGGCTTGCGTTGGACACCAGGATGCTGCTCTGGGAGCACCAGGAGGCATCCTGACAGCTCAGGGCTCATGGACTCAGCCCATGAGTTGGAAATGAAGCCCCGGGATTAATATTTGTCACTAGTTAATCACAGAATCATTGATTGGAAAAGACCTCTCAGATCCCCAAGCCCAACCCAACCCACCCCACCATACCCCACTCCCTGGGCAGCTGTGCCAGCACCTGGTGGCTCTTCCAGAGAAGAAATTATCCCTAATATCCAACCTGACCCTGCCATGATGCAACGTGAGGCCATCATCTCTTGTCCTAAAAGGGCAGCATCTCAGTGCCTGCTTCTGCACTGCTGGGTGGGAGCTGAGGAAGGGTCAGCACTTCCAAAATGCCTACACAAAGCCAAAGGCACCAGCTGAAGACACAATGATCCTGTGCTCTGCAGCACCTAATGCCTCTCACCAGCTGTCCCATGACACGCTACACAGACAGCAGGAATTGCTGACATTGGGTCAAAGCCCTTCACATCTGCAGGATGGGATGTGCAGCATGGAGCAGCTGGTGGTGGGCTGGGATTTCTGTCTAAAGGCACTCACTGCATTTGACAAACAGAAAACACACACACACAGCCAAACTCACAGCCCCCCCAGCACACCTGGGGCTGCTCAGCAGAACGGTGCTGCTGATGGGGGTTGTTGCACTCTGCAACACAGAGCTGCACCACACACAGCTGGGGTGTCCAAATGGCCTCTGCTGGATTAATTATCCATTAACCAGCAAATAAGTAATACTGTAATGTTCCTGGCCAAGTGCGCTGCAGAGCAAAGTTCAGGTAAGCTTCCAAACTTTCACCACCAGGAATAAGAGTTGACTGTGATCACTGTTACCGCACCGAAAGGCCCTTTGCTATTGCGCCAGCACATTCCCTTCTCTGTCATCTGTTTTCAGATCAACCCTGTGACTGAGCCTGGGATGCTGTGCCCAGGGGATCTGCACATCCCCACACAGCCCAGCACGGAGCTGGCATCCCCCAGCCTGCTCCATTCCAGCAGCAGTAACAGGATTTGATGCAACTCAGTGAATCGAACACAACCTCCGGTGTTTCATCCTGTGCCATCCGATTCTACTTCTCTGCTGAGGATGGTTTTGCAGCCTGCCTGATGATGTGTCCAGATTTGTCTTTATGAACACAGACAGAAATGCTGGGCACAAAAATCAGCATCACAAGTTTAACCAAACTGCTCCTTTTCATGGTTTCATCACTGCCTGCTTTCCCTGTTTCAAAACCGAACCCAAAATCTTTCCCACATGTTCATGCTGTTCTGAACAACAAGAATCCTTCTCCATCTGGTCTACAGATGGGAACCCAGCACTTGGTTGCCACTGAAACTGAGTGTGCTCTGGCTCCTTGGTTCTGCCCCAGGTCCCCAACGCAAATCCCACAGTGAGCACTGGGGGCTGAGCACATCAGGGGTTGCTGTCCCCTCCCTATGTCTTGCTGCCACTTTCCCCTCCCCCACATCGGTGTCCCCATGCCCCTGGCTCACCCCACAGCTCCTGGCAGGACCTTTCCCAGCCGTGCAGCAGTTTTTGGTGGCAGATGGCCCTGCTGAGTCACCAGGGCTGCAGCCGGTGCCAGCCACTGCTGCCCACACACCAAGCACAAGCCATGGGCTGCACGAATGGGACGTGACCCTGTGGTACCAGCAGGCTTAATGGTGATGTTGCTGAGCATGACCTGGACAGGATCCCGATCTCCACAGCTGTGCACAAGCCTACCCCAAGCCCAAGGCTACAGTGGCCTCAGTCTGTGTGGGATGCTCTGCTCCCTCCTGGGCCACTTGGAGCCATCCTAGCTGGGGACACTGCCCATCCTGGGACACTTGGGGCCATCGGCTGCCACACACCAGCGTGAGCTGAGCCGGTTATTGCCATCACCCTCTGATACAACACCAAAGAGCACAGCAGTCCCACAGCTTTTGGGGCATCGCACTGTGCTCTATCACAGCTCATCGCCAGCAGAGGCAGAGAGCCCATCTAAATCAAAACCACAGAAGTGCTCCTGTGGCAGTCACCACTGATGTCCCCATGTCCCTGCCATTGCACAGGCTTATGGTGATGCCATTGTACAGGCTTACAGTCGAATAGGGCAGCTTGGCCACGGGCTCACACCTCAGAGCCAGCTCCCCGACCGACCACTGTCCACAAAGCCCCCAGTCACCAAAGCCCCACACTCTGTGTCCCTTAGCAGTGGTAGCATCCTCGTGCTAAGAGGTGAATCAATGGGAATTAGCCAGGACGCTCAGCGTGCCAGCAGGGAGAAAACAGCAGGAGGAAACAGCAGGGAGAAACCATCATGCTTCTATTTTCAGCCTCTCTGCCACAGAAAATCCCTCTCCAAACAAACCGCGCCGGTGCTCGAAATGAAAACACACAGCGATAACACGGGCTGCTGCAGAGCTCCCGCTCACCTCCCCCCGAGCATCACCTCTGCCCCAGCCCTTCTATCAGGCATCCGACGCATTCTCTCAGGAATTCGCCCTGCGGGAGGTGGTGTCCCTCTGTCCCTCTGTCCCCCTCTGTCCCTCTGTTCCCCCACCCCGGGGATCGCCCCGCGCCTCCGCGCCTCCGGCAGCGCGCACCGCACCGCGCCCGCGCACCTCGGTGACGATGGTGGAGAGATACACGTCGCGGCTGTACTCCCAGCCGTCCAGGCACGGCTCCTGCTCCAGCTCCGCCAGCTGCACGTCGATGCCGGGCCGCAGCCCCAGCGCCGACAGGTTGACGAGCGCGTCCAGGCGGTAGCGGCGGCAGCGGCTCGGCTCCGTCAGTCCGCCGCGCAGCTCCAGAGGGATGCTGGCGTTCCGCCACTCGTCGCTCAGGTTGGCTCCGGGCGGCACAGCGCAGCGGTGCTCGGGGATACCGGCCAGAAACACGGCCGACATCCCGTTGAAGCCGTTGGGGATGATGCTGGCGCTGAGCAGAAAGAAGACGAGGCGCTGGAAGCGGCCCCACTCGCCCAGGAAGGCAGTCAGCTCCTCGTAGTCCCGCATGGTGCTGCGTGAATCTCCGCGCCTCTGCGCGCCCCGTGCGGAGCGGCTCCTCCCCGGTTCGGCCCCGCGGGGCGGTGCGTCCAGCTCCGAGGATCCGCTCCACCGCCCCCCGAGCCGCTGCGGGAGTTCTGAGAGCGTGGCTCCGCAGCCCCGCGCTCTGAGCACCTCCTGCTTCCCGGCTGCTTCCGTCACAGCCGGCAGAATGCGGTGCGGAGCTTTGCGGTCGGCGGTGCGGAGCGGGAATGTGCCACAGCAATTGGGCAGAGATCAACGCAGAAATACGTCGGTCGCTCTGACTGTAATGCCGCCTGTTTATTTCCGTGGAAATTACAACAGCGACAAAGAGACTGATAGAGCAGATTCTCAGCTCCAAAATACTATTTTTCAACGTAGTCATCACCATTAAATGTGCGTTTTTGGCAGGAATGAACAAGAGTTGCAGCTGGGCTCGTACAGATCTTCACCGGGGGAGATGACCCACCTTTTCACAGCTGCTGGGAAAACACACAGTCACAACACACAGTTGCCCACGCAGCCTATCTTTCACTGTGCCAACATCCACTGTTTGGTCTCATAAACGTTCAGTGAGCATCGATGAATGTCAGCATGTGTTCAGCCCCTACTGCCTTACCGCCGACATCCACCTCCTTTTATTGTGAGCCCATGTGATAAAATGGGAGGCATTACTTTCGGAGCAGGCTTCTCCATTAGCAGCTGGGGGATGAGTGCAGTTAGGACGGCGCCATGGGCAGCGCAGGGCTGACAGCAGCAGAGCCTTGGCCTGGAGCATCCCCTGAGCTGCAGGCGGATCAGCTCTGTGAGCAGAGCCCTGCTGTGCAGTGGCGACGGAGAAACAGCCGCCGTCAGCCACAGCTTCACACACCTCATGCACTCACCCCCCCCAGGAGCTGCCATCCCCTGCAGCACGATGTTTATTTCCCCGGTGCTCACCCTACATCACACACAGGCTCAGCGGTGTCCGCTCCGAGGGTTCCTGCAGCAGCTCCAGCCCGAGAGCAGCACTCTGTGCCAGACCCTATCTGCTGCCTGCTGCTGCGCAACACGTGATGCTGCAGTAGGACCTGCAGACAGCTGCAAGGCTGCGCAGGAAATCTGAGCTGCGCTGTCATCATCTCCTGAAATAGCTCACAGGACACTCAGAAACACGGCCGTGTGTGAAATGTGCTCAGAGCTCAAATCGTTTCATAATGCTCTCTGTGCCAGGCTCTTCTGATGGTTGTGATGTTGACTGAGCTGCAGAGTTTGCCTTGGAAGACACCAAAACATCCATGCACCGTGCTGGGCAGCCCTGTGAGCCCTGGTTTGGGGCTGTCCTCTTATCAGTGCTGGCATAGCTCTGGGCATATGTGGAACACAATCAGCCAGGAGGGAAAGTGGGGCTGTGATGTGGGCAGCAGGAAGACGCAGCTCCTGTGTGCAGCGTTCTCCCAGGGAGCACGGGCTGCTTGCTGCTGCACACATGGTGTGAGGCTGTGAGCTCAGCAAGGGGCTGACCCCAAGGATGGCACTGAAATTGCTGCAGCAAGCAGCAAGCCCCCCACTTGGGCATTGCCTGCTCCCTCCTGGCTGGGGTGCTGCTTTCCTGTCTTTATTTTAAAGATGCATCCTGAGGAACAACATGCAGGAGAACAAACCTTGCTGAGGTGGCATCTCGGCAGCAGTGACAGTCAGAGGTGGAGGCTCCAAAAAGAGCGATGCAGTGCCAGGAGGGCTTCGCAGCAGTGCCTGCGCAGGAGAAGCAGGTGGCAGCATTGATCCAGGCCAGGCAGAGAGCTGCAAACCAAGATTAGAGATGGGAGATGATGTCTTGCAGCAAAAGATTGGGACTCCTCTTGCCTGCAGGACTGCAAGGGATGGCTCATGTCCTCCTGAGTCACTGTTCAGCCCAAGGTGGTCCTGGTGATAAGAGTGAGTGGGGCCACAGTGGGATCAGGGCTTGCAGATGGGCAGCTCCAGTCCTTAATGGTATAAGGATTCTGTGCACTCTCAGATCCTTATTTATTGCCATTATTGAGTCAACAGTAATTATGCAGTAACTGCAGTTGCCTGGAGGAATAATTTGCAGTGCTCATAAACACCTGTGGTTAGACTTCAAATTTAGCATATAAAAGTAAGTGCTCACACATAGAAGGTGCTCACATTTATCCGGTTTACGGATGAATCCTCAATGCATTATAAATTTCATGCCTTCAAGATGAAAACACCTTTGGGTTTTCTCCCATATTTTGCTTGAGCAAATGTATTTCCTAACACAGCCTGGAGCTAAGGTGGGTCAGAGGGAAGTGGAGCAGAGCAGCTGCCGTGTGTTCACATCAACCCCACTGTGTGTGATGATGTGGCTGTCAGTGATGGCAGTGTGGCTATCAGTGTGTCACCATCCAGGAGCCCCTGCTCTGCTTGGAGCAGTTCCTACCCAGGACAGCCCCACTCCCCGTTCTGCACTGCCAAAGCAGCTCTCAGGTGTCTCAAGAGCTGGGAATTAAAAGCACAGACGGGGATGTGGAGTTTTGTGACTCCGTGTTGTTCACACAGCTCCTGGATCACATGAGAGCTCGCAGACCAGCAGGGCAAAGCAGAAACCGTTTCGTCAGGCTGTGTGCTGAGTCTGAACGGCTGCTCCGGGGGCCTCCTCCATGCAGGTGCCTGCCGTTATTTGCAAGGAGTTGCACCTTTGCAGGCACCACGTGGAACTGCTGGAAGCGGGGATCCTGCCCGCAGCAGCGTGTGCCGGCTGGGCAAGTCCATAGAACACACCTCCGGGAGCGGGGAGGGCTCTTCCAGCGCCTCTCGGCCCCTCACCAAGGATCTGAGCAATCCTACCCGGTGCCACATCGACTCCAACGCAATGCTTCGGCTTAAAACCGCTCCTCCCTTTGCCGGATTGCTGCTCCCCCGCTGTGTGATGCTGTTTTAAACCAAGAACCACCTCCCAGCGCCGCTAATTCTCGTAGCGGGTCTTTCCCTTATTCTGCCCGAGCCCGGCTGCATTCCGCTTTCCATCACTAGGTGGTGCGGGAGGGGCACCGCACGGAGCGAAGCCGCGTTGCGCCCCACGCTGCTCGCCCGCCCCACGCGCCGCCCCGCATCTTTCGTATCATGCACCCCTCGTACCTCATCTCCCACCGCCGCCGGTGGTTGTGACCGAAGAGCACGGGGAGTTCTCCTAAAGCGAGGAGATGTTCAGAACCGAGAGCCTGAAGCGCTCCCGAGCACCGCACCGCACCGCAGCACGGGGCGGCACCAGCAGCGCTCCCTGCATGACAGACGGTTCCAGCACCGCCAGGAGCAGCTCCGTCTGTTTTACGGTGTGCGTGGGGAAGATCTGTTTCCTCAAAGTCATTAAAATAGCCTCTGACAACATGAGAAAGCGAGGAGGGAACACATTTTCCAGTGCCTCTTTCCCACTGCCTCCCCTCCTCCAGCACCAACATTTCCATCCCAGCGCAAATGGAACAGCTGAGATCGTTGTTCAGGTCCCTGGGGCGCCCAGCCAGCGACCAGGGCGAAGTTAAACAATTCCAAACAAAAGCAGCAGAACAAAAAGGGGGTGCGGCGATGGAAATCACGCCGGCTAAGTAGGAAACTTCGCTGATGATACATGGAAAAAGTTAAACAATTAGAATTTCAACCAATTTGGCTCCCGTCCCACCTCATCGAGTTAATAAATGGCGCTCATCGTCCCGTTTGATCTCAGCAGGCGGTGTTTCCATAGCAAGGAGGAGCACAGGGAGCGTCCAGCACAGGGCGGGGGGCACCGGGAGCATCAGGCAGCAGTGGGGAGGGGAGCTGGGGGTCCGGTGCTGCTGGGCAAAGCCCCACCTGAGACCTGCACAAGTGTACCAGGGCAGACATGAAAGCAGTGGCTGCAGGAAGAGCTTTAGGCACATTCATTATTTGAACTTGTGCACTAATCAGACAAGGGTCACGCAGCCAGGCTGCATGAAAGGATGCCGGGAGGTTTCATACCATGTGCAGATCCGCAGCAGCTTTGGCTTTTTTAAATATTTAAGGCACGTTCAAATAACAATTTCCATACATGATGGTTTTCCAAATAAAACCTTTTTTGATCAGTCATTTGTGGAGACAAAACGACTCGCATCACTTGCCGCTTTCCCCCATACTGAACTGAGCAGCGATGGGGCGCTATGGAAATCCAGCTCCGTAAGCAAACAGCCCTCTGTCATCTGCTTGCTAAGCCCAGCAAACCTCCCTCACCCTCCCAGCATTCACCTGGAACGTTGGAACAGCCCCGCTGAGCCCTTAATTCCCTAATTACACACGCGTGCAGGAAGCGCTAAATGCGCTCATGAGATTTAATCCGTAACCGTTAGACATTCCTGTTCTGTTTCTTGGAAATGACAGCACACTTTCCCCAACTCCCAGCAATAACAGAACTTTTTGGGAATGTCTCTTCCCACGGCCACTCTCCCTCCTGCCCACACCAAGCCCTGGGATCTGCCCCAGCACTGACAGCACTGCGCTGGGCATCGCTGCCATGCACCAAAGGGGCTCATCCAGGGGGTGGTGAGGCACTGCAACAGGCTGCCCAAGGAGGCTGTGGATGCCCCATCGCTGCAGGCATTCAAGGCCAGGCTGCATGTGGCTCTGGGCAGCCTGGGCTGCTGGGTTGCTGGCTGCACACAGCAGGGGTTGGAACTGGATGAGCATTGAGGTCCTTTTCAACCCAGGCCATTCTATGGTTCTATGAAAATTCAAATCTAACACCCCCAACAGCAAACCTCAGACACAACCAGATGCATGATGTGTCATTAGAGAGGTGCATCTCTTATATTCCCTTAGGGCTGGTGGAGCAGGAACGAGTGGATTTGGGGTCAGGAAACCCTCTTTGTGCTGTGCTTATGTCACAGGATTGCGATTAGAGCACAACACAGCAGCAGCACGGCTGGAGACACATGATGTGCTGCAGAGCACAAAACAGCCTCAAGGGGTGGCCGTGTGCTCAATGGGATCTCCAGCACACACACACACACAGGTGTTGGTGACAGAAACCTGAGGATCAAAGGGAAAGCAACTAGGGTGAGGCAGAAAACCAACAATACCGTTTTATTTTGTATTTCATACAAACCACATCATCCTGCAAATGTTTTACAGCGTTAAATAGAGGGAGAAGGTGGCACTGGCAAGGCCAGGTCCCATGCTGGCTCCGGGCATCATGTGGGGAATTGGTGCCAAGAGTCACTGTCACAGTGCAGTGCTGTGAGGTGGCTCTGGCTTTATGCTCCTCAGGAGGATGGAAGGTGTTGGTAACTCGTAGGAATGAGCATTGCAAGAGAACGGTGTAAAAAACATTGATTTGTGGGTAATGTGCTTCCAAACTAAAGAGATGCAGGTGAAGCCTGGGGCTGCGGTGCCTGCAGCATCACTTTGGCGCTTCCAGCTCGTGGGGTTTTTAGGGCATTCCCTGTGCTGCAGGGTGAGGAGCTGCTTTAGGGAGCACAACTCCTGCAGTGATGTGGGGGAGCCCTGCTGGGCTGTCAGGCCCCGCTCTGGGTGAAGTGCAACCTTCCAAACAGAGCCATAGAGGGAACAGAAGCGATCCGTGAGCAGCAGTTAATGGTCAAACCACAGAATGGGCCCAACATCCCCTCCTTCCCCCCTCCTCCAGAAGCACTGCTGCCAGCCCAGAAACAAGCGAGGTTAATAAGGAAAGTCAGAGCAAATGCTGCTGCTGATTGCAAACTAACGAGCTCCAAGCAGAGGCCCGCAAACAAGAGGTGATAACACTTCATACCTGATTAGCCTTAGTCTCCTAATCACTTACAGCTGTCCCAAGTATTTCTATTCAGCTGGCCCAACCTACTGAGCAAGGCTATGCAAATACAAGCAAACCCAGGCTCAGCTGGGTGATCACATTGCCACGCATTCCTTGTACTTAGACAACGAAAAACACAGATGGCAAAAGGAGCTGGGATGGACGTCCTGCTGGCAGCTCCCTGTAGCCCTATGGCAGTGCCCATCTCCATCCCTGTCCATGGAAGGGAGCAGACATTTCCCCAACCCCCAGCATCTCACTTTCGGTTTTCTGGTCCCCAGAGGTGGTGTTTTCCCCCCACTTTTGTTTTTAGGGCTGTTCCCTAGGGCTGCACTGCTGGTTCTCACAGACCCCAGAGGTCGGTCGGTGCCCCCCAGCACCATCTGCCCTATGGAGTCATCACCTGGGGGCTCCACTGCAGCACAGTCCTGCTGGCCCCTTACACAGGGATGCAGTAACACAAAGGAAATGCTCTTTGCCTTTACAGAAGGAGCTTTCTTATTTATAAAGCATAGAAAGCAGAAATGTGTTTCCACATGTTTCCACAAATGTCCCACAGAAATGTGGGACCTGGTGCTACCAACCACACAGCTTCCATCACTGTGGTAGCATCTGACAGCAGGGTGTCTGAACTGCACCTCTCTCCTCCAGTCATGAACGTGGAAAACGTTTCTCCAACATAACAGCATCCCAAGAGCTTCAATTATCTCCCCCTTAAACAAAGCCCACGGAAAGCTCTGTCACAGGTCACATCCACTCGCTCAGGACCGGGGGCCAAGCAGCTCCTGTGTCTCCTCCCAACCTCCGGGGGGGTTTTGCCACCCCATCCCCAGCTGCTGCGTAAGGGCAGGGGGGAGTTCTGCAAAAAAACCCAACAAAAGGTCAAAGCAAGGATAGAAGCAGAGCACCTTGCTGTGAGGAGCAAGGGGGACTGAGGTGCAGGAGGGCAGCCAGGTGTGCTCCCACTGCCTCAGCATCCTTTAGATGTGCTACTGGGCAGGCAGGAGAGAGCAACTGAACGGGGAAGGCAGGAGCAAGCCTTGCTGGGTGCTTGGTGTGCAGAGGCACAGAGCAGTCACCAGTGGGTGGGAGACTGAAGCTGCAGTACAGGAGGCAGCTCTTTGTAGTAGGTAAAGTGCCTTATTTTCTTTGAGCTTTCCTTCCTTCCTTTAAATGACAGTGGGGGGAGGGAAGGAATCCTGGTTTTATAGGGAAAAAAGAGAATGAATCAATATTTATACAGATCCTGGATAAGGTTAAGGCACAGACTAATAACCCAGCACAGCACCCTCCCCCCCCCCCAAAAAAAAATTAAAAAAAAAGTGTCAAAGAGAAGGGAAAAACCTGTTCCTACGCTTTCAACACCATCCCCTGGAGATCCCAAGTGTAAACGGTTTTATCTACAGAAAGGCATTTGAGTCGGGCTGCAGTAATCGGGGTTGATTACAGCCACTCTGCGAAGCCAGCGGCGTGCGTGCGGGTGGGCGAGCGCCGTCTGAGCCCTGGGTTTAGACGAGTTCAACTTTAGCGTTCGGATAAACAGCCACCACGTCATAGCCCTCAGGGGGCTTAACCCTCTCCTTGGCGTGGGTCTCGCAGTACAGCTGCTCCTCGATGAAGAAATAGCCCCTCTGCTTCAGGTTGAGGCCGCAGTCGTCGCACATGAAGCACTCGGGGTGGTAGAGCTTGTCGCGGGCTTTGACGATGGTTCCCCTGGGGATGGGGAGAGCGGGGTCAGTGGGGACGCAGCCAGAAGAAAAGCCTCCCTCCCCCCCCCCCCATATTCTCCCTGTGCTGTGCTGGGAGCTGGAGAGCTGCAGGCATGCGCAGGAAAACTGTGATTTGTGAGCCTGCCTTCTTACAGCACGAAGAAATAAAAACGCTGGCATTCTCCAAAATGTGACTCAGCGTGCGCCTGCCTGAGAGCCGTTCCTCAACAGATGGACAAAAATAACCCACAGATCTCTTCTGCTTGACCCTGACAGCGTTCCTGCCTCAGGGAGGGAGTGCCAGAGCACGGTGCTATTCCTGTGATAAGCAGGGCAGAATTGTTCAGTGAATCATCCGCATTTTGCTGCAAGGTTCCCTTAGAAGGGGCAGTTCCCACCATCCTCCTCAACTCCAGCTTTAGTCATAGAACCACAGCATGGCCTGGGTTGCAAAGGACCACAGTGCTCATCTCATTTCAACCCCCTGCTGTGTGCAGGTCACCAACCAGCAGCCCAGGCTGCCCAGAGCCACATCCAGCGTGGCCTTGAATGCCTGCAGGGATGGGGCATCCACAGCCTCCTTGGGCAACCTGTTCCAGTGCCTCACCACCCTCTGGGTGAAAAACTTCCTCCTCATATCCAACCTAAACCTTCCCTGTCTCAGTTCAAGGCCATTTCCCCTTGTCCTATCACCATCCACCCTCGTAAACAACCCCCTCCTCTTTATTTGCTCCCTTTAAGTACTGAAAGGCCACAATGAGGTCTCCCCAGAGCCTTCTCTTCTCCAAGCTAAACAAACCCTGTTCCCCCAACCTTTCTTCATAGAAGAGCTAGCCAGCCCTCTGATCATTTTAGTGGTCCTCCTCTTAGCAAAAAAAGCACCCTCATAAAAAAAAACAAAAAAAAAACAAAAAAAAACAAACAACAGCAAAAGGGGACTCAAGGATTCTGCTACAGCTTCTAGCTTGTGTTGCTGGTGGAAAGCCACCTGGCTGCACAGCGCACGCAGCAGCACTTACACGATCCCATTGCCACATCTCGTGCACTCAGGGAGCATCTGCAGTCCAGACATGGCAGAGCCAAGCTTTGGTCCTGGAGGTTTGATGCTCCGAGGGTTGCTCAGTCTGTCGAGTTTTTCACCTGCCAAGAGTTTTAGACAAACACAGATTGAGGGCTTGCTCCCTGGTGCTTTGTTCTTTATTTTTACTGTTGCTGAGAAGCCAGAGGGTTATTTTTCCCAGGAGAAGACATGCTCTGCTTGTCACAGCTTGCTTGCAAGGAAGCAAAGAGCAAACATGTAAACAGTGAGACCAGCAACCTGCAAAGCCACACAGCTGGGTGCACAGACGGGCACAGACACCGTGTGGACCCTCTGCTTTGCTCACCCCAGCAGCACGTCTGTCCCCACTGGGACAGTGCCAACTCAATGCACAGACGTTCTTAAAAAGCATCTCAGATAGAAATTAGTGATTAGTGATTAAATTTCAAAGCAAAACAAGCCCACGGGAGAGGAATACGGCACAATCATTGAATGGCCTGGGTTGAAAAGGATCACAGTGATCACGTAGTTTCAACCCCCGTTATATGCAGGGTCGCCAACCACCAGAGCAGGCTGCCCAGAAGCACAGTGGACCCTTTCCTTCTGTTTCCCAGCCCACAGCCTCCAGGCACAGCCCTGGTGCCATCACTGTGCTGCAGCCGCCAGGAGCAGAGCCCCCCATCCCGACAGCCCCAGGAGAGCAGATCTAAAGATCAGCGGCCCCGGGGCCAAGTGCTGTGTTTTTGTGACATGTGAAAGCTTAAGGAAAAGGGAGAGGGCTGGAAGCAGTCAAAAAACCCAGCAGCAGCACTGCTGGTCATCTGAACTTTGCTGAAGCATTACAGAGCTCTGTGCTGGAGAGATGCTCATCACTCAGGTCCCCAAAACTGCTGGTCTGTTATGCAACAGCTGGGGCACATACAGCCCCCAGGCATCTTTGTATCCTCCTGTATCCTCCTCTCTCCTCCTCCTAGCCAAAGCAGATCATTCCCTCCTTTCAAACTGCAGCACAGCGCCCTGACTTCCTATGACTCTTGGAACTTCATAATGAGATTTGCAGCACTTGGTATTTTCCCATAAAAATCTAAGTTCCTGGATTCACATGATTAGAGTAAGAGGCTCTTGGAAGGAAACGAGAAGAAGCTTTTAGCCCCAGTGATTGCAAAGAGAAGCCTGAAAGCTTGAACATAAAAGCCTCAAAGGACTTAAGGTTGAAAGGCAAATAAAAAGAAGCTGAAATGTATCTTCTGGGGATCTTATTTTTTAATGCACAGAGCTGGCGATGACCTGAGTTAATGAAACAGACAGGAAGCTGGGACTGAGCTAAGAGCGAGCCAGAAGCTCCTGATCTCTATTCCTGCTGAGGACCGTCTACATCCTTATGTAAATGCCATTTATTGAAAAAGCCATTTGATCTTTCATAATGATCCTTCTGAACTGCTTTCAACCATTACATTTGTACCAACGATCTCAGGAACACAGCTGCCATGGAGATGCTCTCTGCAAATGCAAAGAACCAGCACAGCTCTAGCTGAGCTGTGGGCAATGCACAGTTGAGAAGCAGGAGCAGCCCAGCTGGTCAGCATGCAGAAATGCCCCCAGCTCCTGCCAGGGCCCTTTGCAGCTCCCAGCACCCAAAGCTCAGAAGGAAAAGGAACACAGCTAAGCCAGCAATAGCATCCTGGTGGGCGCATGGCCATGAAGGGGGGCACGGAGGGGCAGAATGGAGGTGTTTTGGGGACACTCAGCACAGTGCTATCAGCAAACCTCCTACCGTTCTCCCCAGCCTCCAGCATGCCCTGCAGGTAGCGGAAGGACCCCGACTGCTTGGGCTCTGAGGCAGGCCTCTCGTAATCCTGGAGCATCTTGTAGACATCTGACTCCACGTCGATCCCGTTTCTGTTCCGTGGGAGGGACTTTAAGGGGTCGGTGCTATTTGAAAACAAAGAAATACTCAGATCAGATACACGCAGCAATCGTCAGCTCATCAGGGATGTACCTGGATGGAATCCAGTTTCACACAGACAGCAGAGCACCTCTCTTCCCTGTAATCTAGGCCTGAAGGCATGCCCATCCCGGCACAGAGCTATTCCAACTGGGATCAGCTTGTTTCCTGTTTGTTCCCTGTTGAGCAAGGCAGCCAGGGCAGGACCAGCTACTGGATGCCTTCAGGAGAGAGGGCGGCTGCTCACAAACACTGCACGCTTCCCTACCACAAATGGCATTTACTGGGGGGAAAAATAAAAAGGATAAAACAACACTTTTAATTATGTAGGTCTCAGGGAATCCATCCAGCCTGTGTGACAGTTCTCTGGTGGCAGGCATGGAGGGGACTGCTGTTCTCACCACGGTCCCTCTGGGTCAGCTCTGCTGGGAAGCTCTGAGTTAGCACATCCACGTGGGGTACAACAAACAAAGAGCAAGGCAAAGCATTATGCCAGGATGGCTGAGAAGCATCCTTTCAATGTGTAATTGTCCTGCTGAGTAGAGATGAACTGAAGTGGCACCACTGGCACAGGATGTGTGAAAGCATGGCAGCCCACAGCCCAGCCTGCCTCAGCAAGACCCACCTGGGCTGCTCTTGGTATAAAAGCTTTTTCTTTCCTATGAACATTTATTTGGTGGGCTCCTGGACAGCTGCACTGAGCAGACTGTACATTTATAAACATCCCATTTCATCAGGCTTTGTTTTCCCTGTGAGCAATTCCAGCACCCATTTCAAGGGTTGGCTGCTGAGATCATGGAGGACAAAACCCATCTGAATGCATGCTCTGAAGAACCAGGATGGTGATGTAGATGATATCCCCCGGTGCCAGCCCCAGGCTGGGGGTCATCAGCAACAAAGGGGTCTTATGTGGACCTGGAATAGCAGAATGTTTGGCCACCTCAGAGATAGATGATCAAACATTGCCCTGATATTCACACAAGGGTCTTGTGGCTCCTGCAAACACATGAGTTCTGTTCAGAATCTGGCATCTGCCAAGCTCCAGTTTTTGCTTTCCCTCCCAACTTCACTTGACCAACGAAATAGGAACCAAACCCAGCATCTCCAGTGCTGTGAGGAGCTCTGGGAGCGCCACCCCAGCTGTCACCTCTCCTGTCCTCAGCAGGATGCAAGCAAAGAGCTGTCAGTGGCAGACTGAAGTCCCTCTGCATGCTGACACCACATGCATCGTACCTTTGGGAAGGAGAGATGTGCAGCCCACTGAGCTGCAGCGGCAAGGCAGCATCGGCGCTGCTGCTGGCATGCGGCCGGCTGGGCTGGCAGTGCTGCAGGCTCAGTGCCTGCCTGCTGTCCACTGGGCTCCCACCTGCAGCGTGGGGCACGGGCCTCTTGCCCACTGCAGGGCCGTTATCCTGCAATGGAACAAAAAAAAAAAAGCAGAAAAAGCATAAGGTTTCTTGCTCTTGGTGCGAATGCAACACGAGGCTGCTCTGTGATGTGAAACTGCCGTAGCTGTATTTCATACACACCGTGGAAATTAGAGGTTTGCACCAGGAGGACAGTCTGTAATTAGATCTCGCTGAATCTATGCAGCCTTTCCTGGTCTCTAATCACAAACCTGCCTGTTTCTCCAGGGCCGGCCGTGGCCAAGGATCCTCCATTTACTCTCCTGTAAAAGCACACTTGTTATTTCTGCAGGAGAAGGGCTGTGAGGCTGCTCCAGTCCCTGCGGCCGTTCCTGCAGTGCTCAGCACCTTCCTGCTGCTTCACCCAGCAAAGCACAGCAGCAGCCGGCCGCACTGTGGGCACACGGTGTGACCCAAAGCTGAGTTCTTGGGTTTTTCTCTGGAATTCCTACACTTTTGCCTACTTGCAGCTATTTCCATCCACATGAGTCAGAAACACACCCGCGGTGATGAAAGAAATAGGCCCTTCTGCAGGCAGCCGTGCTCTCTTTCATGTTTCCACCCATCCCAGGGCTGACGTGCAGTGCTGTTGCCCCGCTGCAAAGGAGAGCGCTGCCTGCATCTGTGGCACAAGGGCTGAGCAGAGAGGGAAAAATACCTGCAAACAACCAGCAAAGCACATAGCGTGGGCTCTAAGCCTACATCTGACCAAAACCATCTAATAAATACTAATGGGAAACAAATGTCTATCACTGGTGCAGAGGAGAAAACACCAGCACTTCCAAGCGTAGTAAAAAACAAACGGTTAAGAGAAATAAAAAACAGATCCTGCCAGAAAAACATTTTGCAAGTCCAATCCTTCGGCCTTCCTGGGGCAAAACCCCCATTGATAAAAGCAGGGCTTTAGTAAGAGCTGTGGGATGGGGCCCTCGCGTTTCCCTGTACCCCAGATGTGTGATTGCAGCCCTGGGTGCCATCACCACACGGCACACCTGCACACACACACGTGGGGAAGTGGTTTTCAACCCAATTGCTCCAAATTAGCTATTAAGAAGGGAATTCTACTGCCAGGAATAACATTTTTAACTATTCCCCGATTTCTGCTCTTCAAAAAAAAAAAAAAAAAACACAACCTAAAAATTGCAACCAGGCTGCAGGTTTCCAGTTCCCAGATTGACATCGCTATTTCAAGGGAAATAAAGAAATATACTTTCAACCATGACATGGGGAGGAAAATAGGGATTGTAAAGGATTTGGGGAGGCAAGCAGCAGCACGTGCCCCTGGACGGCAGGGCACCAAGAGCTGTGGGCTCCAGGGCCCAAACAGCACTGCGTCCATTGGGACGTGCCAGGATTCCTGCCCTCCCCACAGCACAACAGAGCCTTCCCCTCTGCAGGCTTACCATAACCCACAGCAGCCCACGAAGCATGGCGTGCTCCTTCCTGCCCCACTCAGCAATTCACAAAGCAAATGCTTCCATAAGGCATCAGGTCTGCCCAGTCCAGCCCCTATCCAAGGATGGGCACCAGTGCTGAGTGCCAGGATCAGCAGGGTGCTGCTACCCCAATGGGGCTGGGAACCCCAAACCTCTAACAGGGACAGTCAGGCAGATGGGCTCCTGCTGAGCCTCCCCAGCTCAGTGCAGATTTGCTGAGCCAAGCTGGCATCAGGGGGCAGCTGAAGGGGAACACATAGAAAGCATTTTTCCCCTCTATGCGCACAAAGAGTTTTGTTCTTTGTCTTTACTTCTCTGCTAAAATCTTCCCTCTTGCATGAAAAACCATTCCCTGGATCGAATTCAGTCTCCCTTTTTCCATCACAAAAGCTGGTTCAGTTTTCCCACGAGACCTGCATGAGGCTTTACATCATGCACAGCGCTCACGCCTTCGTTCTCAGAAACCTAGAACCAGATGGATTTCTTTCCAGTTCTCAAAATTCAAGATCACAAAGTTTCTTCCCCCTTTGGGACCTAATTTGCTTCTCTCCGCTGGCTTTTTTTCCTGCTTTTTATGGCCTCTCTTAAATTAAGAGGGTTTGCAAACCCATTCTGAGAGCTGGCCTGCTCAGCTTCGCCGAGGAGAGCTCCTGCAGCCTGCAGAGCAGAGATGTGCAATCTGCTTTCTCACGCTTGCCTTTGAGGAGCATCCATCACTGAGAGGGGCTGAGCTGACACACAGCATCTGGGGCTCCTGGAGCTCAGGTTGAGTGGTTCATGGCTTTGCAGCTCCTGCCAAACATTGCTCAGCCAATTAACAGGCTGCTTTGCCCAAACCCTTACACTGGTCTGCATCTCTGTTGGAAACGGGAACAGACCTTCCACTTCCCTAATGAAAAATGTTTCTTTTGCATCAACTCTGGCACAAAGGCATGCTTTCAGCCCACGACCTGTCCATGCACAGTGGCAGCAGGAATGCCTTCTCCTCACACAGGTGTTGCTCAGCTCCAGCAGCTCCATCCAGCAGAATAGAGACCGCGTGCAAGAAAGACAGAATACGCACACAAATACATCCTGTGGCTTCACTGTTTCTAGGCAAACCCTGGGTACAAAGCAGGCTCTGCTCTGCTGGCTCACAAAAGCTGTGCTGCAGACTCCGCTGGTGCAGCTGAATTGGAACTTCCATTCCCAGGCTTTAAGTCAAATCCACAACGCAAGAGAAGACTCAGAAATTAAACACTTCTGTCAAGCTAATCCCTGCTAGAAGAAGTGTTCCCATAGCTAGAAAAAACGTGCAGCCAACCAGGAATTTTGGAAGGGTTTAGGGAATTCGTCTCAGTCTCTTCTCTCTCTTTGGAAGAGTTTGCATCATGTTTTGTAACCAACATTTGTAAGGTCAACAAAAAGCATAAATCTGCTTGGATTTTTAAAAATACATCAAGGCAAGCAGGCAGCTGAAATGGTGTGCTCAATGGGAATAACTCCCAGATCCAGAACTGGGCAGACTTTAAGGACGGATTTAAACCCAAGCCCTTCCCTCAGCATGCAGAGATGCCTCCATCGCACTGCAGCACTGCAGCAGTCACTGCCCACAGCCCTCCAGGCATTCACTGCACAAATGCTGCTTCTGAAGTTGTGGGAACTCACATTTCTGCCCCATAAAGGCTTTAGGGACAGCTTTGCAGAACAAAAGATGTAATAACATTGTGACTCAAAGCATTTAAAACGTGCTCATTTTGCAAGGCTTTCGGCTAGACCCTTAAGAGTGCAAGAGCACAGAATGAGCCTCATCTTACAGAGACTAAAACCAAAACATCAGTATGAGAGGCACCTCAAGGGATCAGAGCACATCCAGGGCTCAGAGCTGTGGGATGGCACCAACCGTGCTTTGCTCCGTGCACTGTTTATTTTCCTAAGGCAAAGCAATGGGGGGGCAATCCTGCTGCCTTTATAAACACCCAGCAGCAGACCTAACGGAGCTGAAGGTCACTGACAGCTCAGCTCAGCCAACAGCAGCTCCCTGATGTACTTCAGACCCACTGCCTTCCTACAAGCAGGACAGCAGCAGCCAGACGCGTGCTGCCAAAATCCTGAGTTAGCGCATTGCTCAGCACCGGGGTCACTGCACAGAGGTCCCACTGTGACCATGCTGTCACTCACATCCCTCCTGCAGGGAGAGCCGTGGAGCCAGCTGCTCCCTGAGCTGCTGTCACTGAGCTCAGATGCGCCCCAGGGACACAGCCAGCATTCCTCTGCCCTGACCTCTGCACTGTACAGCTAGATGATGGGGAGCAGAGGGCAGAAGTACTTCTCTGCAGAGCCAGGGTCACTTTTGCACTGGAATATGCGCAGGGCTGCAGCCATGCCTGAAAGTGGTACAGTGCTGGGAAAGCCAGCTGCAACCCTGGGCTTGGTGATGCTGCATGGGTGTACAACAGCACATCCCTCAGGACTGAAATTCAGCTTCTGCACAAAACCACAGCACAGACATCCCTTCCGCTGTATCCCCAGCTTTTCAATAGCAAGCACAGCACTTCGTATCTGATAAAGTGGTTCAGAGTCCTGGAAATCTTATTAGCACACAAAGGAGGCGAAGGGCAGACAGCACTGTGCTCGTCTTAATGCAAAGAACAGACAGATGCTGTGGCGTGCCCCCAGGAATGGATCGACCCTCCAGCTTTGGCCCATGGTGTGCAACTACTTCTCTCCATCTATTCCACATCATCCTCAGGTGAGCAGCTAGGAACAGAGCTGAGCAGCACAGCGGGGCAGGAGGTTGGCTGCTGGTGGGAGGCAGCTGGGACAGGAGGACACCGACCCCCCCTACGCCACGCACACTTTAACAGCTCCCTGGCAGAGATGTGCTATGCTGTGAGCACACTGCTGGCATGGCTGCGTGCTGCTTCGCAAACAAGTGGGTGTCAGCCTCACCAAGCACAGCACTGCTTGCCGGGCTCAGCTCAGAAGATCATCAGATAAGGACACAGTTTGCTGAAGCTGGATGAACGGAGAATGTGAGTTATTTCATGAGGTGGACCTCAGCTCTTCTGCTAAGACTACTTCAGTACAAACCACAGTGCAGAAGAGAGCTCTCCCCACCACGTACTCCTCACTGCATGCATCCTGCAGACATCTGCCCAACAGCAGAGCCCTCTGTATCACCACCCAGGACACAGCCCCACATCCCAGTCCTCATCCCAGCTCGGGATGCTGCAGGCAGCACTCTGCAATGACAGCTCCCTCCATAAGGACTCAGTTTGGCCTATTTTTGTATTACATTCTGAAACTGCTAAAGCTCTGCCAGCTACAAAAGAAAAAACACTGCAAGAAAGCTCCCATTGCATTTCTTAAAGCTGTTGCAGCATGGAGCAGGACTGAGCTGAGACCCACCATCTGACATGAGTCCAAAAGCACAAAACTCCATTTTGGAGACACACATCTCTCCATACAGCAGCCTTGATTTGTGCACAAGGAGTAATTACACCAACACCCAAACAAGCCCTGCTGTCCCCTCCTGTGTAAGAACAGGGGATCAGAAGCAAAAGCAACAAAGAGGAACAGCAGAACATTTCCTTCCAGTGCTGAATGAAGAGGGATTACAGCAGTCCCGACAGCAGCCATCTGATGTGCAATTGCACGGATGGGGAAGTTCCTAAATCATCTGCAAGTGATGGCTGGGGATTTCTTAACATCCAGAATTGTTCAGAGGGGTGGGAAGCACCGACCCATTGCTGAAGGAGTGCTCTCAGGAGAAGCTGCTCCAGGATGTAAAATGAGGCATTATTATTAATAATAACAATAAAAATTAAAAAGTGCTTTTGGGATAAGCTAGGAAAGTATTCCAGCTCAGTGCTTGCACGTGTTCTGCTCTGACGGAGCACAGCACACATCTGACTGCAGGACAATCTCTCCCCATTAGCAAAGCACTGCAGAGCTGCACGGCCACTGGTGGGGGCACAGGGTCCCCATCCCCAGGAGCAGCCACTGCACTGGGAGCACATGGAGCCCCTCAGCACTTTGTCCCCAAGGGGATCCAGCTCCCCCACAGCCTCTTAGAATTACCCACAACAACGGAAAAAGTTACCCGAGAACAGCAAGAATGATCAAAATGTGTTTCCATTTATCTGGCCCGCTCCAGCGCAGAGGGCATGTTTTTAATATCAGCCGTGCAAGGGTGTGTTTAACAAGCAGACAGAGGAGGGCTTTGTACGAGCAGGGCTGCTTCATTAGCACTGTCATAGGGAAGCAGGACAAGTGCAGAGCGTGGGCTCTGCTGAGGATGCAGGATGTGCTCCTCGTGGTTCCACAGTGCCTCCAGGCAGAGCCCTCCTGCACAGACTGCACTCTGCTCCCTGCAGAGAAGTCAGAGAGCAGCACCGTGTTCAGGGTTATTTACTGATGGCCTTGGGGGCTCAGGAGCACCTCGGGATGTAGAAGTGATAACGAGTGGCTGCACAGAATGATCATTCTAGGTAAGCAGAAAGGGAAACCACAGTGTGTTAAGTCAGCTTTCCCTATGGACCAACCAGAGCTCCGTGTGCTTTCACACAGACAGCGACAAGCATTCCCCAGTGCAGCAGCATGCCATCTCTCCTTCCCCGTGCCAGCAGTCACCCCTGGAACAGATGTTATCAAGGAAAACAAACTGCACACCTATCCCTGAGGAAATGCCACTGGATGAAGGGCTATTTTGTCCGAAATCTGCCCAAGCTGTCGTTATTTTATTACAGCTCCTGTTCACTTTCAATGAGAGCAAGCTATGCCAGGTACTTGGATAGGAAAAAAACCAACACCATCTTGAAAATTTCATCCTATTTTTTTCCCCCACTGACCCACAGAACATTCTTTCCTCTTTCATGCATCAGGATTATTGAAGCTTGCTTGCTAACGATGCTGGTAATGAAGAGGTAGAGATGATCTCACATAGGTTACCAATACAGCAGCTCAACGCATTGCAATGGACTGAGAACATTCATTTGCTTCCAAATGAGTCAATATCAAACCACACAGCAAACCTCACAGAGATGTGTTGGGCAACCCCTTCACCCAGTAAACCAGATCATCAAACTTGGTTGTGTATGAACTCAATACATATGAACTATGGGAAGGGGTAAGTATCCTAAAACTATTTCAAGGACAGCCCCAAACCTATTGCAAATTATTGCAATTTGAGGGCAGAATTCCAGAGGAATTTATGTTTTTCTAACCTTGCATCTCAAAGCAGACTGCGTTTATTCAGATGCTAAGAAATGTACCTCAAAGTTGCACACTGGAGCCAAGCTATTACTTGACACCAAGCCTTTTGCTTCCTGCAATCTAACAAGAGCTGTCGTGGCAGGGATGGATCTGATGCCACATGGGGCTGAGTGCTCTTGCTCCCATGGGATGACGGCCAGCTCTGCAATAGGCTGCACTCCCTGAGCTCAGTCATCCTCAGCACTGGGCAAGCCAGAGGATTGCTGTGATAATGCAAAGCTCTGAATACCAGCAGAAAGTGGAATTCCAACCAGTAACTACCCTGATCCAAGAGGCTGCTGGGTGAGAAGAAATGGGAAATGGGACGCTGCCCACCAGCTGCATGGAGTCCCTGGGTTGCAGCCATTGGGAAGAGCAAGAGCAGGAATGTGCTCTCTGAACCCACTCCATCACGCTCCCAGGCCTTTCCTGGTGCCCTGCCACAGATGTGTTTAGGTTAGCCACTGATTGCTCCAGATTTAGACATTGTTTGTGTAGGGTTGGAGTCAGGGAAATCCATCCCTGCCCCCTCCATGACACTCTATGTAACTGTCTAATTTTTTTTAAAAAGATCCATATGTAGCATATATTAATAGTAGGAATCAAACCCAATCTGCATTAAATGTCAGAAATGTTGTATCTGGCAGTGGAACCGCTGCACATTTGTTCCTTATTTAACATTATTCATAGGGTTTTGGGCACATCAAAGTCTATTAAGAAGGCCTGTCAGAAAAGAGATTGCTGTAATGGATTAATGAAGCATGCACGGCCAGAACTCAACGCCAAGGCTCCAGCTGGTCCCCAAGCTGCAAGAGGGACAAGAGGGGTCCCTTCTGCAGGGACACGGCCACTGTGCTGCAGCTCAAGTGAATGCCCTCGTCCCCATCTGCTGTCCCTTGTCACCGCACAGGAAAGCAAGATTTTGGCAGATCAGTTGCAACGGCCACAGCATCAATGGGTGTGAATGCAAAGATCTTGGTGGCACGTGGAGGACCTGACCCCATCCTCCCCGCACTGAGCTCATTGTTGGGTAACTTCCAGTGCTGTCAGGTCAGTTCCTCACTCCTTGAAGGGAACAAGGCAATGCTACCCCCAGCAGCAGCATCACCTTAGCTGCTTTGATATTCACCCTGGAGCCTCAGAGTCCACTCAGGATCTTGGTTGCTACAACAAGCAGAAGAGCCAAGCCAGCAGCACCTGCTCCTGGAGGTTCTGCAAGCACTGGAGAAGGGCTTTTATGGAACAGCCTCCAACACAAACCACCTTCAGGCAGAGAAGAACCATATCTGAGAACAATGGCTGCGGCCACTGCAGGATTTCATCCCATGCCGCACACTCAGCTAGCTGGGATGCTGAACAGGAGCAGAAAGACAGCTTTCCTTTGCCTTTTGAGGAGAGCCAGAGTCACCTGTGAATTTGCTAAGGACCTGCTGGGCAGGACATGGGTGCAGGACGAGATCAGTTCAGCCCATCACCTTCTGACTACCGCAGGCAGCAGTGCCATCACCGTGCAGACACAGGGCCAGGACACGCAGGGTGCACAGGAAGGTTGAGAGAAAGAGCTGAGGACAGAGGGGAGAACAGCTGAAAGACAGAAAAAGGAGGAGAAAGGAGTGAGACAGGAAGAGCGGGGACCATGAGGCAAACCCACACAACCACCCTTTAAGCAGATCATCACCACAGGGTTAGGCGGACATGGTGAACTGAGGGAAGAGGAGCAGGAGGCAGGTGCAGCAGGAAGCAGTGTGGGAGGGCATTGCAAGCTGGGGACCACGAGCTCCATCCCTGAGCCCCAGCCTTGCTGCTCCAGGCAGGCACCAGTTCCTCTCCTGCCCTGCTTTCTGCCCCATCCCCACACTGCCATTTCTACCCACAAACCCAGGAGAACACTTCCCCAGACCCAGATCTGCTGCCCAGCACACCCAGCACAGCCATCCTGATGCTCCCTTACCTGCGGCTCAGGCTCGATGTTGATGCGGTAAGCTTGTGCCTTCCCATCCTCCAGTATGGGTGGTGACCAGCTCCTCCCCTCAGTTCTGTAACGGGAAATCAGGTACATTCAGCTTAGATTTAAAAAGCAACATGGCAGAAGCAATATACAGAAACAGTAGGAACAACGGCTGCTTTCCAGTGAGAAGGCATGTAGAGGATGAGCCATCTCATGCCTTTCAATGCAGCTGCTGCAGAAAGCCCTGAAATCCAGTTTTTATTCACCTGCATCCCTCCAGCACTGCCACACCAGGCAGCACACAATTCAGAGGTCTGTGCTGCTCAGGAACCAAATAGGAAGCAGATAACATTGGTTCTGCAAAGACATCACCATACAACTGCCCATACGTTGTTGTCAGAACAGACAAAGCCTGCTGCATTGCTTCTCATCCCCACCAGGGATAAGGAGCGATATGAGAAATGCAGCACACAGTGCACATCATCATGCTTAACTTCACTGCCTGCATGCACACCTTAATGGAAGTGTTCTTGCTCTAGGAGGCACCAACCACTCATTGCTGCAGCCCAGTGCCCTTGCTTGGACTCTGGCCTCTGACATGTGCTGTGCTCAGTTTGGGTTTAATTATCTGCAGAGTCCAAGTGTGAAAAAGAAAGAGCATAGTTTTAACCCAGGAACCCGTGATGAGGAGTGTTGGGCTCAGTATCTCCCACTGAAACCCACCTGCAGGCAGCCCTGCTTTACACACACCACCACGCACCCCACAAACTCAGAGCCTGACCCAAAACCCAAAAAAGCAGAGACTGCCACAGCCCTTCATGCACAGTGGGATGCTGTCCTGAGGTCTGAGGCTTTTTTGCTCCAAATCACCACCCTGTCTCACCATCACTGCTTTTCTCAACAGGAAGGAGGTTGATCTTTTTTCCTACATAGATGTCTCGTTCTGATAAGCTCTCTCTACCACAATTACTTGATTCTAGGCTCAGACCTTTCTGCCTAAATTGGTCTCCCAGACTGCTGTTTGCTGGGACAGAGGAAGCTGACCTTCCTGGGAACGGCAGCATTCCCAGCATTCACCATCATCTGCTGCTGCATGTATTGCTTCCACATTCAGAACCAGAATACTGCATTCAGAATCTCATCTGGAGGCCCGGAACAATGAAGGCTCCTGATTGCATTGGCAGAGACCTCATTACAGTTTCTGTGCTTTCCCCCCACGCTCTGCATCAGCCCCATGCTGGCTCACACCATTGCTGAGGAGCAGGCGGTTATGGCTCTCCTGTTTGCACTGCTCTGCAGCCCACATGTCAAATACAGCTCATATAAAAACAAATCCCCACAGATTTTGATTCGCCAGTAAATAAGTGCGATCCACAAAGCCATCCTGCTTGCAGTAGACAGGAGCGATAAGCAGCAGCACATCCTCTGTGCAAGCACTGCCAGGCTGCAGCCCCCCACACACTGACCCCATCTCGGAGTGCAGCTAAATGTGCATCTCCCAGAGCTGTGGGTCTGCACACTTAGTGACAGAGGCGCTCAGAGTGCAGGCACCCAGGTAGAAGCCTGATCATAGTTGGTGCTTTTAATGATGAAACTCGAAAGTTTTGCCATCACTCCCCTGGAGCAACCAGAAGTTTCCCCACATCCACAAGATGCAACCTCACCAGCCCCCAGCAATGGCCGGAACAAACCCAGACTGACCTCAGCAGCAGCTTCCAGTTGAGCTGCTCTGAAATTAAACCGATACAGCACAGCTTTGGTTTTATCCAACATCTTCAGAGACTTCCTGCCAAGCAGAAGGGATCAAGGGAGCAACCAGACCTACCCAAGAGACACCAAGGTCTACTGAAGTATCGGGGGCATTCCTGCTCAGAGACTTTCCCTCTCCCAGGGGAACAGGAATGAACCCAAAGCAGCATCCCCAGCAGCAGGAGACCCACTGGGGCTTTGGGCTCAGCAGGGCCACCCCAAGGCACTCACTCTGTGCTGCTCGGGCACAACAGAGGCCAATCACACTCTGCAACACAACGGCTGAGAGCTCAGACATCACAATTACATGTTTCAAGCTGTTTAATTCACGGGAAAAGTGTTTTCAGATACATTGCAGGGGATTAAAGTCAGCTATGTGGAAATCATTACTCTGCATTAACAACGCTCTGCTCTATTCTGACGGCTGCTCGGACAATCCTAAGGAAAATAAACTGACCCGGGCCCTTCAACACAAGGCTGCGTGAGAAACAGGCTCATTAACAAGACAAACCTAAAACAAATAAAGCAAGCTGCAGACACCTTTTACCCCACAATTTGTTTTCTAAAAAGACTCTGTATCACTTTCAAAGAATCACTCACATACACTCACACATTTTCACCACAATGTTTTTGCACCTGGTAACAATCTGCCATTCCTGCTCTCTGCACTGACAGAGCCATTCTCACACTGTAAGAATCCCCACATCCCCCTCCTGCAGCCCTTTCCATGCTCACATGCAGCGCTCAGCAGTGCAGCCCAGGATGTGCCACCACCTCCCCCTGTGACCACATCCACTCAGTGCCTCCGTAGGGCAGCAGCTTCGGGTTCTGCCCATCTCCCACCATTAAGGTCTCAGCTGCAGAGGTGACTCCTGCTGCTCACAAGGCCATTGCCCTGCTGGGAGGGGATGCTCACGATGCTCACCATGGGGCTGCAGGGTGCAGGATCAGCCCCTACCACACCAGCACCTCACAAAGGGCACAGCTGTGGGGCTGCTGCCTTCTCTCCCCAGGCACCAGGCACTGCAACACTGTTGGTTTTCCCGTCTGCTCGTCCTCACATGGCTCCAGAGGGGAAGCTGTGATTCACTTTTTCAGTTGTTCTCAAGTTTCCAGGAGCGGCACATCATGCACTGTAACATTTCCATCTCCCAGCAGCGTGGCTCAGGCCAATGGAGCATCCAGAAAGATGTGTGCAGAGACAAGGGGACTCCAGCAAGTCAGTGACGTGTGGGTCCAGGCAGATCCCATCGCTGGGCTTCCTCCTCCAGGGAGGCACCTTCCTGAGAACCCCCCACCCTGGGACAAACAGGAGTGAGCAGAGCCCATGCTGCAGCCTCACGTGGGTTTCAGCAAAGCACAGCTCCAGCTGAGCTCTGTAGCTGCTTTCACTTGAAGCATAACCCCATCTGAAGAAATAAGTCTTCTCAAATAACCAGGGCTGCACCAGAACCACAAGAGACACTGATGTGTAAAGGAACAGGCGAGGTTTAGAAAAAATAAGAGCACTGCACAGCACTACGTGAGAAGAGGCTGAGCTGTGCTGTTGTGCCAGTTAGCTCAGGGCCAGAGCACACAGCACACACCAGCCCGAGGGCTGACAGCCTTCCAGGAGGAGGATAAGGTGGGTTAAGGGGAGAAAAATAATGTTAATAAGCAAAGAGAATTCAGGTACAATCTTTCAGCTTGCAATTATTCAGTTTTCACAGCTTCTCATTGCTGCTCAGCAGAGACACTGAATGCCCCCCCTGCCATCCTCCCAGCACTCAGTGCAGAGCCAGGCTGCTCTCAGCACTGCTTCCCATCACGCTGCCAGGAAATTGCACGTTTGCCTTTGGTCAGAAGCACTCTGTTTGTCTTCTTCTAGACTGAAAGCAGAGGCAGCTCCTGCCATGCCACCAGGCAGGAGAGCCAAACCCAGTGTAAGGTCTCTAATGACAGACTGTGCTAAGGAAGAGGCCCACGTCCATTTGCAGTTCACCCACGCTGTCACACCTCACTGGTGCCAGCCCCTATCCCGACACAAAACCCATTCCAGCTGGTTCCTCCCAAGCACAGGGAGCAAACAGTCTGTGCTGCACAGGAAAGCTCTACACCCCAGAGGTTTATCCTGCACACAAACTACCACTCATCCTGGTTCTTTATTTGCTTACCCATCAGTGTGACTGAGAATCTTTGTCAAGTGACCCTGATAAACGATAATCAGCATCTCTCTCTGCATCTCCATCATAAGGCTCTATGCACACAGAGCCCAGGTGGATCAGGCTGCTGTCGGGACACCCAGATCTGTGTGCCTGCCCCAATGGATGGCAAACAACCCTTCCTGTTTTTTTGCCCATATGGTTTTCACCCGTTCTGACTTCCCTACTTTCAGTCAAAGGCAATTCACTGAATGCAATCTGAAAACTAAACCAACCCTGTTGCATGTCACAGGGACATCAATGTCAGAGCTTCCCATCAGGAGGAATTACAGAAAGCTCTCTGGGCCCTGCAAGGCAGCTGCTCTCTAAAGAACCCCAAAGCTGAACAACAATAAGGCCCTGTGATGGCCTTGCTGCTGAGCTAAGCTACCCCACACACAGACCCCTCCATGGGCCCCTGCTGCTCTCTGCATCCATCCAGGGGATTTAAATCTGCATTTACACACACAGAATCACAAAGGTTGGAAAAGACCTCTCAGATATGATTCTATGATACAGCCAGCTTCCTCTGAGGAGCAAACATTGCTGCCAGCAAGCCCTGGGCTGCAGAGCACCAAAATGGGAAATGGCTCTGAAGAACAAATCACCTCCTTTATAGGATATGGGTGAACAGCAGGACTGCACAATGCTCGCGCAGGGCAACTGCTGCCACTCCTGAACCACTGTGCCGTCAGCACAGTATGCTGAAGTAAAATAAAAGCATCATCTCTTTGTCCTAACATGTCAGCAGGGATAAAGGTCAGAAACCCCTGAATTACCTTGCCTCAACACAGCAGCTTCCATCAGGCTCCTACAGCGGGATGCACAACAGCTTCAGCTCAGAGTTTAATGCCCACAGTTCAGTGGCTAACTTCCAATGCTTGTCCCTGACTCCCTCAGTCCCCACCAGGTGGGGGACCATCCTCCTGTCCTGTTCTATAGCCATGAATTGGGGGCAGCCATACAGCCTTCAGCTTACAGATTAAAAAAAAAAAAAAATCAGTTGAAAAATCTGATGATTTCATCAAGGCTCTTGAGTCACATCTGGCAGAGCCCCGTTCCAGGCATGACAAAGTTTCCACCTCCAGCAGGCACACTGCAGAGCAATCAGAGCTTTGCTGGGCACAAAGTGAGCGATGGCCACTGGCACGGCCCCACATCTGGCTGGGCAGATGGAAAGAAGTCTTCAAGCTGCTGTGATGACAATGTTCCCTTTCACTATTCAGCTAAGTTTTATCTTCTGCATATAAACATGGACATATAAGTACTGAATGAGTTCAGCATTGCAGGATGACACTGCACACACAGACACATTTACAGATTGTCAATGTTCAGGGCAAAAAATACCTGCAACTCCATCTCCCTCAACAAAAGATTGTCCCCCTCTGCTCTGCACTCGTGAGGCCCCATCTGCAGTACTGTGTCCAGGCTGGGACCCCCAGTACAGGAGGGATGTGGGGCTGTTGAAGTAGGACCAGAAGAGGGGCACGAGGATGGCCAGAGGGCTGAGCATCCTATGAATTAAGTTGGAGGGCATCAGGTCTGTTCAGCTTGGAGAAGAGAAGGCTCCAGGGAGACCTCAATGCAGCCTTCCAGTACTTGAAGGGAGCTTACAAGCAGGAGGGGAACAGACTTTTTTTTACACGGTCTGATATGGGGGGAATGGCTTTAAATTAAAGGAGGAGAGACGACTGTTACACATTAGGAAGAAATTTTTTCCCAGAGGCTGTGACGCACCAACCCAGGCTGCCCAGAGAGGCTGCAGTGCCCCATCCCAGGAGGCACTGAAGGCCACGTGGGTGACATTTTAGGCAGCCTGATCTAGAGGTTGGCAACCTTTCCCATGGCAGGGGTTGGAATGAGATGAGCTTTAAGGTCCCTCCCAGTCTAAGCCACTCTAAGTTTCTATGAGCAAAGACATACCAATTGATGCTAAAAAGGGGCCGAGAAACAGGACTTGGTAGCAGCCTCCTGAAAATTGCTCCTGGTGAAAGCCAGAGAAGTCCCACCTGCATGAAGGGTCCTTTCTTTTCTCCTCCTCCCCCTTTCTTTCCCAAAGTTGCAGCCATGTAACCACTACAGCATGGCTGGGCTCAGTGGCCCTGCAGCAGTCAGGCTTTGTAAGTGCCTCTGCCCCTTGAACCCCCAGGAACAAAACCAGGTTTGTGCTTCACAGCAGTGCTCCTCACACAGCAAGCAGGGTGGCTGCACCACGCTCTGGGACCCAGCTACCAGTCAGAAGCCACATATTTCCTAAGAGATGCATAAACACTCAGTGACAGCTTCTTCATAGCAGGAAATGCCTTTTTAATCTGAAGTGGATAATTATGACAAATTTATTTAAATCTGCTAAGAGATAGCAGCCATTTAGGAGCCTTATAAGGAACAGATCATTTGTGACTTGCATCAAAAGCCTTTAGCTAAAAGACTAACTTCAACAGAAAGCAAAGAAACCAAAACAAACCTTCATTTTGCTTTGAAATATTAAGAAACAAAAATGCCACGTGTAGCTGGCAGCACCTCCAGACACATTCATGGAAGAGACATTTAGGAAAACAATGGGTAGGAGCCAACAGAATATGGGAGGCTTCTCCCAAATGGGGTTTTGGCCCCAGTGCTTCTTCTGCTCAGGTCTCCTCCTACATAGGAGGTTTGCAGGGTCTGACCCTGCTCAGCCCCTGGGACCCTTGAGAGGTGCTGAGGGAGAATCCAGACCCACTCATTTAATCGGTGCTCCTTCAAAAACAGCTTTTGCCTCAGTGTGTCTAAAACCACAGAACAGCTGCACCAGGATGCATCCAGAACCAAACCCCACGGCACGCCTGCTCTGGGGTTGGCTGCAAGCCTTCTGCAGAAGGATCAACCAAAACGGACACAAGAGCACAAAGAGCAAAAAGAGCAAAGCACCACTGCAATACACTGCTGAGGACACAGCACAGCAGGCCGTCCCCACCTGCTCACAGACAGCAGCAGCTGCTCCACGCATGCCTTGATCTTGTTCTGTGCCTCCAGGTGCGTCATGGCTTCCGTGCTCTCCCCATTAATGGCCAGAATGATGTCTCCAGGGCACAGGTTGGCCAGGGCTGCTTTACTTCCAGGGTTAATCTAGGTGAGAAGAGATAGAAGATGCATTTAAAAGAATGCTCAATTTAAAGAAATTAATGTTTATTGGAGTAACAGCTCCCTCAGTGTGCTCATCTCTGGAGAAGACCCGTGTGTTCTGCTAAGCCAACAGCACTTGGGTTCCACCTGGGCTCACACCAACATCTCTGGGGTTCATGCCACACAGAGATGCCATCAGGTGCCAGCTCTCAGCCCACAGGGCTCCATCAGCCCCAGCACGTGCCCAGGTCCCCTTCAAACACCACAATGCCCTCCTTCAACACAGCATCACAGAATAGCCTGAGTTGGAAGGCACCCATAAGGACCATCAAGTCCAACTCCTTCAGCCCGCAGGCCTTAAAACAAGCTCTGGGAATCAGTCCCTAGAAGCACATAAAAACTCTGGAAAAAGATGTAATTTAAGGGTGAGAGCAGTCACCCTAATTGCTTCCTGCAGGGACGTTGCGTTTCACATCAGTTTTTCCTGACCGTTGTTCAAGGATCCGTCACTCTGTAGCTCTGCACAGAATGTCCCACAGCCCATCCATCCCCACAGCCCATCCTGACTGTTTGTGTAGGAACATCAAAACCTTACAGAGCTTCCAACTCCCTTCCCAAGGTACCACTGACACGGCTGGGTACCGCCTGTGCTCAGACACAGGGCCAATCCCACAGCCTACAGAAAAACCTTGAGAAGTTACCCTTTCCTTTACATCAACCCAATTATTACACTTTTAACTCTCGGGATAAAACAAAACAGTGCAACACACAGACAGGACAGGTAAGCATGTCTGCAAGTGCATCGCCACAGCGTTTGTGCCCTGAACCTGGAGGTGCACGGGGAGCTCTGAACGCTCCGTGCAGCTGAGCAGAGCTGATGCCATGCTGAGCCTTTTGTCGTGCTGTCGGCGCAGATCAGCGCTCACCCTTTGCTCTTCAATAGTTCCTCCAAACAAACCTGCCCAGCCACCTCCTGGCTGCCTCTGACTCAGCCCAGAGCAAACAAAGGGAGGCATTTCTCACCGCAGAGCATATCGGCTGCAGAGTTGTGACATGGGGCATTTTAATCCCGGAGAGATTAATTGTTTTTGTTGGTCGTGTCCCCCCCCCCCCCCCCCCGGGAATTCATTTATCCTTTTGTTTTTCTTTGAACCCACATTAGAAACAATGGCATTCCCCAGCACCAGGCTCCTTCCACAGCCTGAGAAGCTGCCAGCCCTGCCCTGTGCCAGGCAGGAGCCCGTGGAGCACCTCCAAGCACACACCTCTGCAGAACAACGTGCTGCCACATGCATCCCCTGGTGTCGGCCACCCAGCCCTGTGCTGACAGCCCGACCCAACGCCACCACATCTTGTTCTCATCTGCTCCTCGTGTCTGATGCATTTCTCCCTTTACACTGATCTTAACCAGACCATACCTTCCTTGGAGAAAAGCTGCTCATAGATGGGGCTCTTTGCTGTTTCCTATTTTCGGTTTCTGGATTATTTCAGATTATTTTGGCAGCATCTTCATGTTAGCATTTTATGCTATCCATGGAGATGACTGAGGGCTGGAAACAGAGCAGAGCTCCAAGAGCACATTAGTTTGAGATACAGCATCAGGGTCATAGTCTGGGAACCAGCACAGGAACACGTGGCAGGTCCAGAGCTCACATCTGCCAGTGATGAATGCTTGAGATGCTCCAAGCCAAGTTCTCCCAACTGCAGCTGTGTGACACCATCAGCACCAAAAGGTGCCAGAGCAAAGCAAACCAGGCTGTGCCACTGTGTCGTTCTGAGGGCAGGACCAGGCTGTGGTACAGCCCTACCTGCTCTATGTGGAGCCACACAGCCTCCTGCAAGACATGAAGACAAGGGCACAGCATTAAGTGTAATAAGCTTTGTTGTAGCACATTTGCAGTCCAGCCTCCAGCTTACCGCATGGAAATGCGCAAGTAAATGGGAAGGAGCAGAGGGACATGGGTCAGCTCAAACCTGAATGCTCTGAGGACTTCAGAAGCCACATTTCCTCCCCAAAAACAGCTGCCACCACACCAGCACTGAGTATCCACCTCCACAAACAGGGAAGCCTTGACCCTCACGCTCTACGGCTGCAGCTCTGTTAGGGTGCAGCCATGCACTTCACATGGACGCCACATCAGCTGGGCACTGAAATCCTGGGGCAGCAGGGGGGACAGCAGGGAGCTGCTAACATAGACATCCACCCATCCATGCCTCTGTTGAGAGGGCTTTGCTGCGCCGCAAGCAGCGTGCATGATGTGAACGAAGCACCAATTTCAGAGTAACTGGATACATCACGGTTACAAACGCTGCAAAACCAATCTGCTCCGAGTCACTGGGGCTGTGTGCTCTCCAGAGGGGCCTCTGTCAGAGGAGCTGATTCTTGAGAATAGGACGTGTTTATGAAAACCAGCAACAAGGCTTGTTTGGGAGGTGCCCAGCGGTGCCAGGAAGGAGCTGCTGTGGAGTTCCCCCCCCATCACAGCCTCTTGCACACACAGCCTTGCAGCTCCATCCACATGCAGCCTCCCCCCCCCCTCCCCCCCGTGCCCCTTAGCACACACGCAACGTGTGGCACTCCCTGAGCTCCAGAGCCAAGACCTGGCAGGAGAGAACAACCTTCTGCATTTAACCCCTCTGCAGGAGTAAGGGATTGCTTCTTTGTTTCCCTCTCACAGCGTGTATACGTGTAAGATATCAACACAAAACACCAGAGGAAACAGAACTAAAACAAGGGGAAGCAGATGCCCACACACCATCCTTCTACCTGTGCTCTGTCCCTGTGGCAGATATGGCTGCTGCACTGAGAGCACCAGCCCAGTGCCAGCACAGAGGGACTGGGGGGGGGACCACGAGCAGGGTAACAGCACCAGACCTATGCCAGAGCCCAGCACTGCTGCTCACTGAGGACATCGGTGTAACCACATCAAGGGCAATTCCATCCCAGCACTGCCCATGGGAAGTACCACCAGGCTATGCTGCAATAGGATCAACCCAGCAGCCATGGGGATGCTCTGGAGCAGGTCTGGGAAAAGCCCCAAGTCCAGCAGTGCCTCTCATCTGGCCGCTGGGGCCCCGCTGTGATTTACTGAGTGCTAGCATCTGACTTTGGGCCAAGGAAATAATGCACACTGAGGCAAGTGTTCCACTAAGCCAGCACAGCTCCCAGCACCAGCTATCTAGTTTGGTAAGCAGTATTATTTGCACTAAGAGTTGACTTTTGTAACACGCATAGCACGATTCCTTCAGTCCTGGAGCACAACCGCTGCAGGGCACCAGCCCCACACAAGCAGCCAGCACAGAGCCAACCCCCAGCAGGAACCCAGTGCTGCTCTGATGGCACTGCCACCACCCTGTTGGCAGCTAGGGACCGACCCAAGCACTGCAGTCCCACCCAGCAGCAGTTCTGCACAAGAGGGTCCAGAACCTGGTCAACATCACCAGCTGGAATAATGAATCATTATGGTTGGGAGAGACCATTAAGATCCATCTAACGCTTGTGCAAAAGCTTTACGGGTCACGTTAAAAAGTTACATTAGTAGATGAACATATTGAATACTACAGCAACAAAACAACTCATCCCATCAATTAACAAAATCACTTTCACAGCACTTAATGAGTTAAGATGCGCAGTCCCACGCAACCCTATGCAGACCACACTGTAACACACTACCTTGGATTTAAGATTGACAAGTCATGGGGAAATTTCTGCTCTGCAAGCATGATCAAAAGAGCCTGATTAAAGCCTTGGAGAGCCTCTCAAGGTAGTGTGACAAAGTTCTCAGCTTCTAAACAAAGCAGACTTGTGCTCACAGGAGGCACACAGTGCAGCCATGGCTGCTCTGACAGCAGCACTGTCTGAGCACAGGAAGAAGCGGGGTTTGGTGGCCATCTAACAGAGACAGAGCCCCCAAATCCTCTGAGCACTCTTCACAGGGATGTTCCTCAGTGTTCCAAAGCACTGTGCCTTGAGCCAACATACATTCCTCACTAATCCAGTTGCATTTTTATAATTGCTTAAATAGAAGCTGTGCAGCACCTAAGGCTTGTCCCGTTGGACTCAGCACCGCAGGAAAGCCCCAACTTCCCACACCATCTCCAGGAATTTCGGTTCTTTGGAGAATCCCATGGGCACACTGCAGAGTGAAACCCCAAGCTGCTTGCAGAACTGCCCTCAGAGTATGCTCAGCACACCCTGCCAGTGCCACCAAGCACAAGGCACTCAGCACAAGCAGCTCACACCCAGCTGGAGAGCAAACCTGAAATCCCAGCCTGGTGAAGGCAACATGCCATCAGCCCCATGCTGCTGCCACACCACCACCTTCCCCTGCTTTATCTGTGCATGGAGATATCCCACAAGGTTTGGCCTTTGTGCTGAAAGCCCTGTGTGTGCTGAGGGCTTCCAGGCAGCATTCTGTGCCTTACAGTGGGTGACAGCTCCCAGGGTCAGTATTTCAGCAGAATTATGTAAGGATTAATGGGTGAGAACATGAGCTGCAAGGTTTTGCTTCTCCAGTTGACAAGAAGGATGGAGCGAGGGAGGAGCTCCAAAGGCATCTTCGTGATGTTTGGAAAACTTATGAGTGGAAATACTCTCACACAGAGATTTTTTTTTAAATAGGGATCTGTTCTGTATGGTCAGAGAGGCTTACTTTCTGCAACCCCCCCCATGCATGGAGACATTCACATACACCGTGCTCCATGGCTCTGCCACTGCTCCAATGGCCCAACATATCCTCCTCTTGCTCGGGGCTGCATGCAAGCACTGACGTTGAAACCAAACGCCTCGGCCCTTATCTGCAGGGCTCACAGCACACGTGGCGCTCATGGCTGTGCACAAACCCATCACACTCACAGCTGGTGCCTCACTGCAGTCCCCACCCACAGCAAATCACAGTCTGCACCTCCTGTTAACAAGTTTGCTCTGGCTGCATTATCAGCCCCACACTCCAGCACCCGTGGACACAGGTGACTTAAAGCATATAGATAATTCACTGCGTGCT